GAGCTAGGAGGTTGCACTAAGAGTTTCAGGATTGAGATTGTGTCTGGACTCGGGTAGTTCCTTGCATGTAGCCGGCCACGTTAAGCTGTGCATGTAGCCCACATTTCTGTGTCATAACGTATATTACATCCCCTAGCCACAGTCAAAGCCACTTTCCACGCCACCACGTTAGAGGGTGAATATCATATACGGTGATCAATAAGTCTAGGCCCTGTCAGAAAGAGTTTCAATTGCATGCGGGAGGCTGTCAAAAATTTAATCACGCAAGGTGGCACGGGGAAGAAGGGGAGGAATGGAGGGTTCGAGAATCATAGTTGCTTTTTCCCTGACGAACTATGGCATATCATAAAATTGAGGCTGTGGCTAAAGGCCGAACTCATGAATCCAGAGTTTCAGGCTACTACCTCGGTTATAGGATCTTGGCGACCCCCGGGCATACAGAACTCCCAGTCCTTTCGTTTCGAGGGTCAGGCGTCCAGCCGAATCCTGAAGGGGCAGGGCGAAGTGTAGTGTGGCGGTGAGAATACCACCTAGCCACGATCGACATTCTGACGTCTGATAAGACCAGAGAAAATACGGGGGTCTGCACGATATGAGACAAAACCCCGAGTGAAATCAATAATGCCTCAGTCATGCGTACAATTGGAAACACAATGGGGTTGGATCATATTCTGGAATATTTCCTGGGTGGGTGGGCGGTCTCCCCCTGGACTACCATTGGGGCTTCAATACGCCCACCTTGCCCCAGATGCTCGCCCGTTTCTACGCTAACGCATACAATCGGCCCAATCAACTGGATATCTTAGGCGAGAACAGTTCATCCACCATGCCCCAAAAGGGAAGAGGCGAAAATACTTACTGCAAACCGAGGACTAGGTGCAGACATGAAACGTCGTCCACGCAACCCGGGAGTTCTGGAGAAGCCTCTGCTAACGAGGAATAAGGATATCTCACCGCTCGGTAACAATACGGGTTGGTCAAAGACAGTCCAATCAGTACCCAAAGCAGGGATCTGACAGGAATACGAGGAAGTATATTTGCGGTTAGCAAAATAGTCAAAAGTCGGTGATGGTATGTGCTGGTTTCACTTGCATGAGTGATCGGGCAAAGAAAATACAAGGGAAAGTATAGGCAACCATAAGATTGGTGCTGTTGTTGCCTGATTTTAGGGGTATAGCAGCCTAAGTATGGCGATAGCGCCATAACGTTAATGCCTGAGTACACAAGTATGTGACTGGCAGCGTCAGGTTTCATGGAATATTAAGGCTGCCTACGTAGTTCATTTCGGTCTGAAGCCGAAAGCTCTATCCTTGTCTACACGTGGATGTCGCGCTGTACAAGGAGGCAGTGCATGATGCTGCGGTTGTGCACATATCACCTAGGCTCATCATAGGTTTCTGCAAGGCATCCTGCATGCAATGCCCTGGCATGGAGGGTACAACTGTAGTAAATGTATAGCAGCATCTATGTCATAGATTTTTTGTCTTTCCTTTCTTTTTTTGCTCTGCCACAGTGTAAATGTCGCAAAGAATCGTAATGTACACAAGTGGAGTGTTGAGGGGTGAACAGGAAGTGTGGCCCTGGAATCACGAATCCCTAGAGAGCCAATTAACAACAGGGGCGGAGTAAAGACGCCAATCACTGAAAAATAAAGAGTAAACCCATATACGCCGTGGACATGCAATGCAGGTGACCGTTCCCTTTCTATACACGATATAAAAAACAGCCAATAATTTTTCATCCGGATCTCTCGAGGAGCGGTGAGGAGCGGCGAGGAGTGTGCGCGAGAAGCCAAGTATTGTACAGTAGCGCGAGAGTTGGGAAGCAATGCACTGAGAGTAGAGTCGAGTCGCCATGCGACTAGTTCGGGGGGTGAGAGTGTCGCAATAGATTATGATGTTGTGCCAAACATGCGCAGAATGAACTCGTACCTACCAAATCAGTCAGTATATTGTGTCAGTTAGATAAAAGTCTGGTAGCAACTCACATTCCAAACATGATCGCGGCCGAAGGCACAACACGCAGAAGGTGTGGTGTCAGGCCGCCGTACATGGCGACCATACCTTCTTCCTTCCAGACGGTCTTGAAGCACTGGACCAAGCCGGTATACTTCATTTCGACCCTACCATTGCCAACTGAGACGGTCGGAGCCTGACGGAGGCGAGTGCGAACGACCTCATGCGGGTAAGTAATGGCAGCGGCAACCAGCTTTGCCATACCAGCCGCGGTGATACGTCCACCCCACAGCTCCGCGGCATCCCATGTCGTGTAATCGTAGGCCGGATCGGACTTTTTGAGAGAATCGCGGCGAGCGAGATACATCTTCATCTGCTCATACATAACCCACTGGAGAGAGGACTCTGTCACGCCTAGATACGAGGCGGACAGGCCGCGGTAGAGGCCGCGAATACCCTCATGGCGCACAGTCTGCTTGACGCAGTCGTAGCTGTTCCGGTACTGGCGACTCTTTCCATGCTCCGCATTGGACTTATCCAGTTGCAGGCGGGTCTTAACCAGCCAGATCGGGTTTGTTGCAGTACCTGTCGCGATGCCGGCAACTGCGGCTGCGGCCAGGTGGATTCCCATAGGAGTTTGTTCAACATTATGGTAGCCGAAGTAATCGCTCAAGATGCGCTTGCCGTTTCCGTACATGTAGAAGTTGATAGCGCGTGCGGGCACGACACCGATCAGGTTCGGTCCCAGGCCTTTGAACAACGCGCGCCAGCCTTCGTGAACGTGTATTGAGCGGAGGATCTGGAAAGTTTCGCTGAAATGCATGCCAGCGGTCCGAGTCATAGAGATTAGAGCATTGGAGGTCGGCGCTGGAGGAGGGTGCGAGGCCCGTAGGGCCTGGAGCTGCGACTTGTAGAAATCGGATTGCAGGCGCGTCTTCAGGACATCGAGCGGCGAAGTAAGAGTCGCAGAGGTCATTCCTCCAAGACTATAGCCTTCAGTTAGCATTGCTTCTTCATTTCAATGCCTCAATCCGGATCATCTCCGCCTTCAGAAACATACCCTCCGGCAACAAAGTGTGCGAGTGGCTTCGCCTCGGGCTTTTCATCGCGAGCCGCTGGCGTCCGGTTTGGGATAACATCGCCTAGTTCCCGTGATTGCGGAACAATATCTTTATTCAATTGTGACGCATTTCCCAGTTGCGCCGGCGCTGAGCTGGGAGCTGCGGTAGAGAAAGTCATCGGGGCCGGAGATAAGAACCGTCAAGGCAGATACACGCTTGGGTAGGGGACAGAATTAAGAACTGAGAAGCAAAGACGCGGATTAAATCATGATAAGTCGAATAGTAGAATGGTCAAGTGTACATTGAAGTAGAAAGATTGATAGGTTTTCTCCGGAATATTTTTTTTTCGCTGGGCGGTCTAGCTCTCTGCTCCCCTTAAAGAGGCCGCATTTCCAAGGGGCAAACTATAGATCATTCACGGTTCAGCCGAGGATAGCTCATATTAAGTCTGCCATTTTCAGTGTCATATCAATCATTCAAGTATTTGACCGTGACCCCAGTCAATTAAGTAACCGGTACATCCGACCAGCAGTGCCGTACTGTACAGATATATATCCAAGACAAAGACATGTCACTCAATTCGAAAGTGAATCGGAATAATTTCGATCCATTGAATTGTATACATGCGGAGTAGAATCCCTGGAACATCCATACATGCTTGGGGTCATTGAGCGAGCATCCCGGTCTTGAAGAGCACTACGAACACAGGGCTAGCCCATGACAGATAGATACGATCATCCAGGAAAAACAAATAGACATGAACTCGGAAATATTTTTGATTTTGTTTCATTCAGGGGAATCTATGCACAGGCGAGAGATGTGCCAGGGCATCTGAAACCCTTTGCTTCGTCTCATGCAGACCAAGTCCATTTCAGCCTTGGAGGCAAAAATTGAGTGAAAACCCAGTAAAAAACACCTAACAACCGCTCGCACCGACCCAATTCCATTGCGATCCCTTTAAATGTGGGTGTCGTAGGCGATGGGGACGACCGTCTCGGGGGTGTTGCCGCCCAGCTGGACGAAGTGGGCCTCACGGGGACCAACAGCCTGGCGCTTCAGGTGGACGTGGATACCCTTCTCCTTGGCCTCACGCTTCTTGAGGGCGTTCTCCTTGACACGCTTGATGAAGTCCTCACGGGAGCGGGAGTGCTGGACGTGCTCGATGCGGACGCTGATGCGCTTCTCGAGGTAGCGGTTGTCGACACGCTTGTAGAGGATGACACCGACCGAGGACTTGGTGACGTTGTAGACGACACCAGTCTTACCGTGGTAGACCTTGTGGGGCATACTGTTCAACTGTTAGATTATGTCTTTGCTGTTTCGCATTGCCCGTGTATCATCGCGACTGGCGGTCCGGTGCGAAATCGTATGGGACTATCGGAATTGTACTGACCCCTTCTGGACGGCACCGTTAACCTTGATGTCGACAATGTCACCAACACTATATGAAAATTTCCGTCAGATCTCAAATTCTTGTTCGTTTTGCGGGATTCGAGGTTTTCAAGCGTACCGGTAGGTCTTCAGGTAGGTGGAGAGACGGATCATACCGTGCTCCTTGAAGCCACGGCTGAAGGCATACTGTCGTTTCGTTAGCACTCAAGTCCTCCCAAGATCGTTTCCCTGGCCTGTGTCCAATCGATCCAAAAATTCCTCCAACGGGGTGGGGGAAAAAGTCGCATGTCGCAAAAACAGTCAAGACGTACCCGAGTGCCGGCGCGGAGACCGTAGGAGTGAGGCATGACGGCGGTGGTGTGGTGGTTGGTGGTTGATTGTCGACGGGGCCTTCAACCTTCGAAAACCGATGAAGCCGCTCGGGTAAACTTCAGTGTGATGGGTTATGTAATTAGGGTTAGACCCGCTCCTGCTAGCCCTATCGCTAAACCCAATTAGGCAACTCGCTAATTCTCCAACTCACTTTGTGTCTTGGTCTCATCGTGTGCGAACTTCGATCTCCTCGACAACCTCCGCCAACCCGACAGCAGCCATGGCCCCGTGAGTATATTGTCGCCATTTGAGTCACACCATTCTAATCTCTGTGCAGTCGTGTCTCTTCCAAGACCTACAAGGTCCCCCGTCGCCGTAAGTGAACCTCCGACAGAAACCTCAAATCACGAAATTGAAGATTGAAGACTAACTTGTTCTGCAGCCTTCGAGTCCGCCCGCCTGTTAGTACTCTCCGGCCAATGATCAGAAGCGTGCTTCTGGTTATGTCGTATTCATCTCTCTAACCTATTTTTCTAGTGACTCCGAGTTGAAGGTTGTCGGCGAGTACGGCCTGCGCAACAAGCGTGAGGTGTGGCGTGTCCAGCTCACCCTGTCCAAGATTCGTCGTGCTGCTCGGTATGTGAAGGATCAAAGTCTAGTCTGGTTCCGAGCGATCGGACCAGCCAGTGCAATTGAAGGACATGCGACTAACATCTTCCTCCATAGTGAGCTCCTCACCCTCGACGAGAAGGACCCCAAGCGTCTCTTCGAAGGAAATGCCCTCATTCGCCGTCTGGTCCGCATCGGTGTGCTCGATGAGTCCCGCATGAAGCTCGATTACGTCCTTGCCCTCAAGGTCGAGGACTTCCTCGAGCGCCGTCTCCAGACCTGCGTCTACAAGCTTGGCCTCGCCAAGTCCATCCACCACGCCCGTGTCCTCATCAAGCAGCGCCACATCCGCGTCGGCAAGCAGATCGTCAACGTTCCCTCGTTCATGGTCCGTCTTGACTCCCAGAAGCACATTGACTTCTCCCTCACCTCTCCCTTCGGTGGTGGCCGTCCCGGTCGTGTGCGCCGCAAGAAGGCCGCTGCCGCCGCTGGCGGTGACGGTGACGAGGAGGCCGAGGAGGATGAGGAGTAAATTATTCTCTCAATCTCAAAAAATGGAGTACGGTCGGGTTTCGATTGGGGCGCCTCAATACCTCGGAGGCTCAACATGACTGCATCATAGCGTCTCACGTTGTACGATCATCCAATGCAAATGAATCAAAAACAGCCAAAGGCTTCAATTTGGAACCCGAATTTTACTTTTCGAATTCCATGCCCATCGTAGTCTGGACTGTAATACCTCCGTAGCGTTTATGTACAGTGTAGATCCTAAACGCCCCCATACCCACCTAGATAAGCCCAATTGATCATTGCGTCGTCGTGCACTAGTACTGCGGTCTAGGCTTGTCTTGCAGACTATGCCTCGGTCCCAACTAGTTCCTTCAAGGTCACTTCCGCTCCTCTGTACCACCGTCCCATCTCCTCTAGCCCATCGCTTTCACCTTGTTGCTTCTTCCGTTGTGCTTCACGTGCTTGCATTATAGCTTCCTCCTTCCGTCGCTCTAGGACGCTGCTCTCTCTCTCCATGGCCTCGGCCTCTCGAGTTTTTCGCGGGAGAGTGTTCTGCACAGCAGCGAGCTGACGGTTCAGCGATGCTAGCTCTGCCTCCCGTTCGGCTAACAGCGACAATGTAGCAGGGAGAGGAAGATTTTGAGACGAAGAGGTGTTGTTGGGGTCGGAGGGGTCCATGTTCGCGACCTGCTTTGCGCGGAGCCCGGCGATGGTAGACTCGAGATTCTCAATTGAAGCAGGTAATGTTGAGAGCTGTGTCGTTTGAAGCTCCACATTCTTGTAGCCTGGGCAAGAGATCATTCAGTCAACGTTTTCTTCACCTTCAACCGCTGACACTCACGGCTCGCCAAGTCACGGCCCATTTCTTCCATTTCCTCAATCATTATGCGCGCATCTTCTTTCCGTGCCTTAAGTTCAGCTTTCACATCTGCCAGTTGTGTCTCCAACTCCGTGTTCTCATTATGTCCGACAATCACCGGCGGATCGCCTACGATGGCGCGCAAGAACTTTTCTTTCGTTACTTGCTCGAGGTAAGAGAATCGCAGCTTCGAGAATAGTTCCTACGCGACAAGGTCAGTACTCGTCTGGGGACATTCCGGTACCTGGGCTCGTCGCGCATACCTTATAATGTGAAAGATCAGCCTCTAGTGATGCAGGAGTGGGATCTTCAAAGACTGAAACATCCGACCTCCGCTTCGAAGGCGACGGGCCGGAGTGCCCACCATCCAAGGAAATCGGCTCACTGATGCGAACAATAGCAAGTCGCTTTTTCAGGTCACCCTCCTTATCCAGCTCCTGCAGTGCTGCAAGTGCTTCAGCTGAGGTATCAGTCATGGCGAGAGTATGAGTGTCTTGTAAAAGTCGAGGAGTTCTGGTGGGTCAGCGAGGGAACAATGTAAACAACGATAACCGATATGAAAGGCGGTGTGGCAATTTTGGAAGGCGCTTTCGAGGCCGCTCATTGACTCGAGTCTTTGGTCTCATAGGATTCCTCAGTTGTCCTTACAAGATTGCTTGCTCCAATTATGCTATGACCTGATTCCATCGATTTTGCTTCGACTTCTTTCCCTGCGCCCGGTACATCTGTTCGGTACCTCGAAGCCCCGCGATCTGCGGCGCAACTACATCATGGACGACGATTACGTTGCGCAGGTCCTTGCCAAAGAGGCTCGGGAGAGCTCTTTGAAGTATTCATCCCAAGGACTCAGTGCTCTCATGCCTTCCAAGTGTGTCCATTCTCATGTTCTGTGTTCTGCTCGAGTCTCCGACTGACAAGCACTCCTTAAAGGCCAGCCGGCAACGCCCCCAAGCCCAATACTCGCTTTCTACGACACCTTATCAGAGAAACGGATAATCATAATACAGCACTCAAGCGTAAGGAGGAGAGGGAGTCACGGGAGCGAATGCGCCAGCTGAAAGCTCAAAGCTCGACCGCTTCGTCTTCTACAGACCGTACAATCCGAAAATCAGACGATCGCAATGAAGCGCGAAGATCAAGAGAAAGTCGACGAGACGACAAGAGGGATCACTATCACTCAAGTTGCAGAAGACATAGAAGTCGCTCTGCTTCGACGGAGCGAGACGGATCACGGCGGCATCGTCGCAGAAATGAGGATCACGATGGACCCGATGAGAGACGGGACCGCGACGAGCGAAGGAGTGGACACCGGCATTATGAATCCTCTAGAAGGGATCGACGGGATAGAGAAAAGGATTACAGCAGGCGGCGTCGTGAGCGGTCGTACTCGGAATCACGCAGCCGTTCGCCTCGTCGGGACCGAAGCAGGGACCGCCACCGCCGTCGGAGACAAGATCGTCGTGACGAACCCTCCACTCGACGCCGTTCTCGCTCACAGGAAATACTCAAATCTCGTTCAAAGAGTGACGATGCACCATCAAATGGGACCCGCCGCTCCCATGGAGAAACGACTACGCGACACGACCGACCTTCAGCTTCTACTACAACTGCACACCAAACCGATACTGGTAATGAATCCGATCCTCTGGAAGATCTTGTCGGACCCCTTCCTCCCAATAAGAACGACGCGGTCATCCGCTCGCGGGGGCGAGGCGCTTACAAGAACTTGAGCAATATCGATGCCCACTTTGCACCAGGCTATGACCCGGCCACCGATGTGCAATTGGATGATGACAATTCACACTCTGCAGGCCAGCAATCTTCTCGCCGTCCTGTCGCAGGGCTCATGACTGGAGAGGACGACTGGGACATGGCCCTGGAGGCGCTGCGCGACCGGACGCGCTGGAAACAGAAAGGGGAAGAGAGGCTTCGCGAGGCTGGCATCGATGATGCAGCTATCGACCGATGGAAGAGCAATGCGGCATTTACAGGGTTGAACAGAGAAGGCAACCCCGAGCATGTTCAATGGTCGAAGAAAGGAGAAGGCCGAGAATGGGATCGTGGGAAGTTTGTCGATGACGAAGGCCATATCAACGTTCGAGCTGCCTGGTAGTCATATTGCTGGGTGTTCATCTTCTGATACTGGTGTTTAAGGTCTGCTTGCTGCATGATACCATGGTGCGTGTTATTATTTATTGCGGAAACAGTGTGGATATCTCTATTTGTATTTTTTTATTGTAATTAGCATATATTATCTGATAATACCAGAACCTTAACAAAACCCAATTGCAATATAGAAAGTTGACATTGGAAGAATTTGTAGTTGATATCACGACCCACGCCCGACATCGTTCCGCATGGTTCGTCAACTAGTGCGGAAACCCCCGCATGCAGACAAATGGTGATATTGCAGCAATGACTGACGGCATTTTCGCCTTGAACGATTAGCCGATGCTTACAAACTGGGACTTGGTTTTCTAAGGCAAATTGTGTATCCAACGTTGCACTGATTGATAACACAGCGATCCTGCTGATCAACCCAAAATATACCTCCACTTATATATCTCTAGTTACAGCTACTCCTTCGTTTACCAACACTCACCCCGTCTCTAATTTCCCGCAATCCTCGGAAAGCCCCCAAAATGACAGACCAATTCGCTTTCTCATATCCCTCTCCATTGAAGGGCTACGAAAACCTCGAGCCACTGCCTGAGTAAGTGCGCCGATGTGGTCACTCCGGAATACACCGGAGTCTGGTTACTGATCCTCCATTGCAGGGAGAGAAGCGAAGATGGGAAGTCGTTCAAGAACCCTCAGCATGGTGTTCTAAGCAAAGCTTATGAGGAATTCCCTGATCCTCTCGACAAGGGCCGACGGGGTGGTTTCGATATTCATATCTATCATTTCCAGGTATGTTGCGTGGCACCACGGTCCATTTTTCTCAATGGCGAACGGCCCCACGAAAATACACTAATGTATTATACAGAGCAATCCGGATCAAGCTGCGTATGCTAAAGCTCTCTGGGAACGAATTCGACGAGAATGTAAGTAGAATGCCTTCCCAGACCGAGACCTGTTTCGCCTGGTCCTCCAGCAAGCGGATTGACTTCAACCGCTCAGCTCAATTGATCTCTTACTAAACAATCAATGCAGTCCCCGAACTACGAATCTACACCTTCTTTGACCGACCCATCGGACCACACCCAGTAGCCATGTTCGAAGTGAACCTATTCACCCCAGCGCAATTCGGCGCCTTTGTTCCCTGGCTGGTTATCAATCGGGGTCCGCTGAGTGCTCTCATCCATCCTAATACAGTGCAAAGCGAGGATGAACGTAATCACACTCAACGTGCTACTTGGCTCGGGGATCGGCTTCCGTTGGATTTGAGGATTTTTAAGCTTATGCAGGAGAGGGAGAAGAAGGAGGCGGAGGAGGCGGAGCGAATTAAGAAGGGCAGCTTATAGCTTGTTCTAGTATCAATGGGGTTTGGATTTTATCGTTGAGGAAATGAGTTGCAAAGCTTGATATTTGAGATTTTGTGCTGCCTTAGGTGTCACCCCGCAATGTGTGTGTGTGGAGTGTGTCAACTGCTTCTACTTTTATACTACAGCTCACAGACTTTTCTTCGCGATTATAGACGCGACATGGCAGATACATAATGTAGTGATCGTCCTCAAATTCTAATCCTGTTATAATGTAGATGTGAAGGCCTGATGAAGGCACGCAATACTATTCGTCGATCTCTATACAGACGGACCGAGGAGACCACAGACCCCAAGATGAGAAACATACGCACATATGCTCATCACACCTCATATGCAAGCCCAAAGTACTGCATGAGTCCAAAGTTCGCAATCCGATTCGACCCCGCCTCAGCCCAGTTGTCATAAGGGCTTCACAGGCAGGTGACCCCATCAGCCCAACAGACCCAAACAGCAAAGGAAAACGAAGATCCTCAAGCATACATATTATACAATACTCCCAATACAAAACAGCAAATCAAACCCTTCACTTTGTCCGCCTGATGCATTATGCCTTCGATCCAAGACTCACATTCCTTAGAGGTTGCATACCTCAGCCCCGGAGGATAAACTGGTAAACCCGGTAACCAAGTAATTAAAGGGGCTTCTCGAAAATCACACCCTCTCGCTGCGAAATTGCTACCCACCTCCTGTAATTACTGGCCTGGTGATTTTTTGCATGCACTTGAAATAGTGGGTGGTGTTGCTGTTGATCTGCTGGTTGGGACACAGGCATGATCCTCATCGCGAAGATCATATTGACGAGAACACGAATGGTGCTCGGCGAATCGCGCTGATGCTTTGAGGGGAGTGGGTATAATGAACATTTTTATTGCTTGGAGTCATTCTATTCAACTGATCCTCGCCCCTTTATTGTATGTGCTTTATTGTTGTTTACTGGTTGCACTCGTGATATGGCCATGCTGAAGGGTATCTAGATAAAAGCACACCACAAGGACCCTCGAGAGTCCCTGAGACTTTGTTTGATGGTATCTGATCTACAAGAGTTTTCGTCGAGCACGGGTGCCTGAGCATCGTCGCACAAGATGCGTCGCCTGCTATCGTTAGCTCTGATAGCCCTATCCTCCACACAGGCTGTTCGCGCAGCAATCAATGCTAGAGCCACGGCTAGTATCCCTCAATATGTCCTCGAATACGGTAATCCACCCACTCAATACTTAAAAGCTAGAACACCTATATACTTACCCCAACTCCACAGCTCCACTGGTCTGGCTCCACAGTCAGGAAACATACATGCCAAGTGACATACAACAGCAACTCGATCACACGAAACCAAATGTTAACTGGACAGTTGTTGCAGGCGCACCGTCTTCTCTAGACCTCGATAACCTCGACTCACTTAACAGCTTGGGCAATACAAGTGTTTACTTGACTTCGTCCGAGGGCATCGATGCTAGTCCGGAGCCACCTTGGTTCAGAGGTATCACTCCGGACTTGGAGGGACGGATTGGTGACGGTACTGGGAGTGCTATTGTTATTGTAGACCGTGGTAATGGGACTGTTGATGCTTTTTATTTTTACTTCTATGCGTGAGTTCTTGACATGGTTTTCTCGCGTTGGCCATTGATTCTTACTGATCTGATTAGGTATAACAAAGGTGATGAAGTACTCGGCATGGAGTTTGGGGATCATATTGGAGACTGGTAAGGGATCGCAGAGGCATCTAGAGACCTTTCAATTGACTACAAGCAGGGAACACAATATGATCCGCTTTGCCAACGGTACTCCCACAGCAATCTGGTATAGCCAACACGCCAGCGGCCAGGCATTCACCTACCACGCCGTCGAGAAAGAAGGCAAACGGCCATATTCCTACTCCGGGAATGGAACGCATGCCAACTACGCCACAACAGGGTAATTAGCCCCAAGTCCTTCCCTCCAGCTCCCTCCCTGAAATCAGTAACTAACACCCATCAGCCAACATGACCACACAATCCCAGGAATAAACTTCCCAACAGGCTTCCTACTGGACTACACAGACCGCGGCGTGCTCTGGGATCCAACGCTTAACGCCTACACATACACCTACAACCCGACAACGGCAATCTTCACGGCTACGGCCGGTGACCCAGTCGCATGGCTAGATTTCAATGGGAAGTGGGGAGATGATCAGCCGCCGAATGAACCCTCCATTTTTGGTGAGGCGAAATTTGTTGCTGGTCCCAATGGGCCGAAGTTCAAGAGCCTAGATCGGAAGATGGTGTGTCCGTCTAAACCGTGTATTGTTTTGCCTTTTAGGATTTGGTCTGGGAATACGACTTCGTGAGAGTTGGATACTCTTATTAGTTGTGATGAGATTCTATGTATAGCCTTGCAGGTTTATGAGAAGTAGACTCAATTGAAATTGTTATATACACTGAAATTGTGGTATCGGCATGTGGTATCTGTAACGAGGGGCAGATGAAAAAAAGTAAAAAAAAAAAATAGAGGTAAAAAAAAGCAAATTAAGCCGAGCTAGTGTACCCTCATTTCGGTCTAACTCGCCCGAAGGCAGAAAACAAGGCAATTCGACGCCAAAGAAAAAGGTCTCGACAAATTGCTCTGTGGTTCCTGCACGCGACGGAAATCCGCCCCACAGTTCCACTCCTGGTAAAAACACAATCTTCTCATTTTTCATGCACAGTACGTACTGAATATATACAGAGATCAGAGAATAGAGATCAGAGGTCGAGAAGATAATAAGATAGAAGAACGAGCTCCGGGTAGGAACCCAATAGTTCCTCGCGTACCAGAACGAACAGACCCGTGGATGAGAAAAGGAACGGGCCCCACGTCGCGTTCCGAGATGAACAATGATGTGCAGGACTCGCATGGTTCATCCTTTCGGTTTCACCATTTCTGCCTGGAGCTTTGTGTGGGCTCGATATGGTTATTATTGGGCGTCTTTAGTTTGATTAGGTGCATTGGAGGCGATGTGATCGACAGGCGGGAAATAACGTTCATTTGCGAGTCTATAATCGGATCTCTGGAGGGATCTTGTTTCACCTGTCAAAAGATGTTCGCTATTTTTGCCCATTGCGTTCTTCCTTGTAGGGGTTTGTTCGGATCCTCGAGCTCATTTAAGCTTACGTGTGTAGCTTTCGAGATAGTTAGGTACGGCATTGCACAACCTACACATCCATGGATCGAGTTTACAATTAAACCGAATCAGCCCTGCTCTAGCTACGCTTTGATATAGAAGAAGAGGCCGTGCTGCCAGGTGGTTATAGATGTCAGTGCAAACATGACAAACACGGTATCATTATCTCACCCCTACAGTAACTTTTCATTTAAATTCTTAGATATGTCTGGCTTTTTTCTTTCTTTTCCAATTCCCATTCAACCCTGGAGACCCTGGAGATTAGTATAGGCTTACAAACCAGTCCTTTTGGATAGATAATCAGGCAAGTGGAGACCACAACGGCCCCTGGCGTTGTGCACGAGCCAAGGGCCAGGAGCCCACGAGCTGCTACGCCATGTGTCTATAGAGGTTATATACATATAACATTCCAGATGATGTTTTCGACCTGTTCCTCAAGCCTCAAGGCCTGTGCCATGAAAAGTCAATTGTCTAGAACACTTCCCGTGTGCTAGCCTCTCGTAGGACCAACCAGGCCTAACTAAGCTCTAAGTGGGACCGTCGCTTTTACCCCTGAATGTTCTTAAGGATACGAAACCCCAACCTCGTAATATAATAGACCAGTAATAGGCCATTGAGGCACCTTTTCTCTCTCTCCGCATCTCTCTCCTTTTTTACGCTGGACGCCGTAAGCCAGGCACATTCAAGTCCCACTCCCAAGAGTCGGAAACTTTGTTTGAGTCTCAATTTCAATTCTCCCCTGTCTCCGGGCCTACCCACTGGTTGGGAAACTCTTTGATCCTTCTCTGCTGTCGCAAACCTTTTGAATCGAATCCTCATTGAACCTCGGACATACCCAGTTCCAAACTGCTCGATAGTTTGCAATCGCTCCAGATCGTTGTATAGCTAGCATTCAATTCGCAAAGTAAAGATTGGAGCTCTTCCGCAGTAAGTGACGCTTTTGGGGATGCAATTCCCGGGAGGGGGAAGGAACCCGTGACCTAATATGTTTCAGCAGATGGCAACTGCCCCTCCCAATGACGGGCAAACTCTCGCCCAACGCCGTACCTCTCTCGGATTCCTGCGTCGTTCTAAATCTACCGAGCCCCTGGGCGAACGCAAATCGTCCGGTTCGCGGAAGAGAATGACCAAGACTCAGGCCATGGAGGATGAACTTCGTCGCCAGCGTGACTCCTACGCCCCCAAGTCGGCCCCCCGACTGCCAGACCTCTCTCCCGCTCCCGAGTTGGAAACCTTTGGAGGCGAGGAACGTGACAAGATGGCCGATCCGATGCCGCCTCGTCCCCAATCCGGATTCGCCGCGTCGCCCTCTATGACATCCTCAATCACCAATGTGATCGATCCCTATGCGCGAACGGAGAGCATGACCCATCGTGGTCGCTACAGCTACGCCAGCAGTGCTGTCAGTACCGTCAACAGCCCGCGTCGTGTCCGCCGCCGCAAGGACCCCACCTCATACAAGTAAGTTCAGATGAGGAACAACTGTGACCAGGCGACTAATAGAACGTGTGTAGTGTGCTTGTTATCGGTGCCCGCAACTCTGGCAAGACCGAGTTCCTCAACTTCCTTCGCAAGGCTCTGACCATGCCCCCGCACAAGCACCCCTCACGTACCCCTGAAGAGGTGGATGAGCTCGAACAACAGACCTCGGCCTACGAAGGATTCACGTCGCAATACCTGGAGACGGAGTTCGATGGAGAACGCGTCGGACTTACACTGTGGGACTCGGTGGGTCTGGAGCGCAACATTGCAGATCTGCAGCTGCGCGCTGTAACTGGCTTCTTGGAGAGCAAGTTTGAGGAGACCCTTGCGGAGGAGATGAAGGTGATCCGCTCTCCCGGTGCCCGTGACACTCACATCCACTGCACATTCTTACTCCTAGACCCTGTGCGTCTCGATGAGAACATCGCTGCCGCCAAACGTGCGACCAATGGGACATCCAAGGCATCTGATTCGCCCGTGGTCGGAGTGCTTGACCAGAACCTTGATCTGCAGGTGTTGCGCACGGTGTTGGGCAAGACCACGGTTGTGCCGGTCATCAGTAAGGCAGACACGATCACATCTGCCCACATGAACTATCTTCGCAAGGCGGTTTGGAACAGCTTGAAGCAGGCCAATATTGATCCCCTTGAGATCTTGACCCTGGAGGATCAGGAGGAATATACCTCGTCGGAAAGTGGGGATGAAGAGGAGGCCGAGACCAAGTCCCTCGATGCGACCGGAACCCCCGATGCGGCTGAAGCTAAAGAATTAGAGACCGAGGACAAGGTTCCCTCCTCGCCCGCCCCCAGCCAGAGCACCCGCAAGTCCAGCGGCTCGCAGGCCGCCAACCTGCACGTTCCTTTCTCGATCCTGTCTCCCGACCCCCACTCGCTGGCTGCTGGAGACGAGCCCGTTGGCCGTCGCTTCCCCTGGGGATTTGCAGACCCCTACAACCCCGAGCACTGTGACTTTGTGCGCCTGAAGGACTCTGTCTTCTCTGACTGGCGCTCGGAGCTGCGGGAGGCTAGCCGCGTGATCTGGTATGAGCGCTGGAGAACCAACCGACTCAACCGCAATGGACAGCCGGTGCCCCAAAAGCAGAACTTTGGTCGCATGGGACCTGTTCATGGCCGTCGCACGCGCTGAGCGTCTCTTCTTTTCTGTAGTTTTTTTACCGCACATACCCCCATTCTTCGCGGCCTCGTCCCTCACCAGGCTTTTTTTTATGTCATACCTCTGCTGTGTGTAATCTCTTTACAAAATGTTTCGTGAGAAACTGTACCAGTTCTATTTCATTATGTTTACACATCCATATCCTCCCATATCAGAGTAGAGAATTACCCCTCGGTTGGATTGGCGAGCCCCTGCCCTGCGGCTGAAACGACGATCTCGAGGCCACTGTATCTAGCCAATGAAAGTCGCTTACTGTTAGCTGCATGTTGAAGAATCACGGTTACAATAAGCTGAATACGAGCGCAATTTCTCCTCCAATTTCTCTTCTCTCCTTCTTTGTTACTCTCCAGGCTTCAACAAAGGGAATGGCCTGAAGGAATAGCGTCACACATCCCGCCTCGCACAGAATCCAAGCTCCAGTTCTTTGTGTGAAACCCCCCTCAAAACTCCCATCATATACCTCAAACCTCCAACTTGGGGATACTAAACAAATCTCCCAATCCGGCCATTGAAACCATGTCACTGCAAGTAAACGACCCACGGGCGCGAACCCGTTCCAAATCTCGCGAACGCTCCCGCTCTCGCGACAGCCGCCAACCCTCCCCCTCACCCTCGGCCTCCCGCATTCGCGACAGATCCCCGGCTGTCGAGATCGCCCCGACCCCATCTTCCTCTTCTAGAGGCAGAGACAGGGATCGAAGTAGAGGCAGGACATACAGCTCAGACGAAGAAGCTGAGATTGAACGCCAGTATAAACTCATCAGTGAGCGTCGCCAGCGCGAGGGTAAGGGTGCTGAGGACCCGCGCAATGTCATTTCCCGTGCGCCTAGGAGCCCCGCTCGCTTTGATGTGAAGCGCGTTGGTTCGGATGAGGATTCGAAGCGGAGGGAGAGAGAGCGCGAGCGCGATTCGGAGAAATCTAGACGTCGCACTGATGACCGCTATGAACATTCCGCTTCGGAAGATGATCTCCCTGCACCCCGCGACCGCGATCGCGATCGCGATCGCGAATATACTTTGCGCTCGCATTCCAGACGGCCCTCGTCGCCGCCTCGCACTAGCACCAGCAGACGCCATGAGTCGGACGACGACTCCTCCATCGACGACGAGCTTGCCTACGGCGATGCACCAGGTAGCCACCCGAGCTATGCGCGCCCAAGCAGATTCGACTACGCGCAGCCATCGCAATTCCTACATGCCCAACCAGGTGCGCCGCGCCAGTCTGTTCCTTCTCAGCCTGGCCCCAGTTACCCTGGCGCGGGCATCGACTGGGCCGCCGTACCCGAATGTGAACGCCCGGGTTTCGTGCCGCCTTCGTCGCAAGCTGATTCGTCAACTGCTAGTATGCCCGGGGCTTTTCCTCCGGCTTCGACTTCGACATATGCGAATGGATCGGGCTCGACGCCTGCGCCTGTGCTTCCCATGCCGCATTATGTGAATCCGGCTGCGAGCATATACTCCACTTCGAGTGCTGGATATGCGCCGGCGCAGTATACTACTGCTGCAGCTGCTACTGGGAATGCGGCTTACCCGCCCACTTCGTCTGGGTATGCTAATCCCGGCCAGTACCAGTATGCGCAGGTTGATCCTCAGGTGCGGTATAGTTCGAAGGCCGCGCCTAAGCCGAGTTATACTGCTTCGGCGCAGGAGCAGTTCTCCAGGACTGGGCAATCGCAGGCGCAAGCCGCTCAGCATGGGTATCAGCCGCAGTCGCATGTAGAGCAGTCGTACCGGTATAGCAAGGAGCCGCAGTTTGTGGAAATCACTCCTGGTGGGAGGTCTGCGACTCGTCCTCATAGTGTCTCTGTTTCATCGGCGAATAATCTTGCTGTTGCTGGGGCGGGTGTTGCTCATGGAGCTCACCCTCCTGCTAGTCCATTGCTGGAGCCGTATCATGGTACTTATCAGTCCATTTCACCCATGCCATCCCCGATTGTCGTGCCCTCCATTCGCGATGAAGACATTTCCGACCTCGAGCCTCTAGACGGCGGAAACTCAGCCTCGGATTCGGGTCGCCAAAGAAGACATCGATCAAAGTCATCGGTCAGTGAAACAGATTCCCGCCACCGCAGTAGCAAAGACAAGAAAGAAAAAGAGCGCGAAAAGGACCGCGAGGATCGCAAAGACGATAAACGTCTCATCCGCCCAAAAGCCGGCCACGACCGCCACGACTCCAGCTCCTCGATCCCAGGCATCGAAAACATGGTCTTAATCTCCCCAACAAGCGGCCGCAAACGCGTCTCCTTCTACGACGCAGGTGCAGACGCCGCAGCAATGCAATCAGCCCTAAACCACGCCAGAAACGTCGACAACAAGCCAATAATCCAAATTCTCCCCCGCCTAACCAGCGATGAAATCCTCCTCCTCCGCCAAGAATACAAAACCCGCGTCCGCATGCACGGAAAAGGAATCAACCTCGCCAAGCACCTCCGCCTCAAACTAGGAACGTCCTCCTTCGGAAAGGTCGCCTACGCCACAGCCCTCGGCCGCTGGGAATCAGAAGCTTACTGGGCAAACTGCTACTACCAAGCGGGGACATCGCGCCGCGAACTCCTAATCGAATCACTTATGGGCCGATCAAACTCCGCAATCCGCGAAATCAAGTCCTGCTTCCGCGACTCCAGATACGAGAATAGCCTCGAGCGTTGTATGCGCTCTGAACTGCGCGCTGATAAATTCCGCGTTGCTATTCTGCTTGCGCTGGAGGGCCAGCGCCAGAGTGATCGCGAACCACTTGATTCGCGCTTGGTTAGGGATGATGTGCAGGATTTGCATCGTGCGCTTGTTAGCAGGGATGGTGGGGAGACGGCTATGATTCATATTATTGTCTCGCGGAGTGATGAGCATCTGCGTGAGGTGTTGCGCGTTTATGAGGCAAATTATCGGCATAACTTTGCTAAGGCTATGATTGCTAAGTCGAAAAACCTTGTGGTATGTTACTTTCCTATTCTATTCTGGGTTTCCCTCGTTATATTCTGATTGTTCCTCCCGCTAATCATTTTCCCCCCTCTGTTTATAGGGAGAAACCCTCGCCCACATCCTAAACGGCGCAATCAACCGACCAATGCGCGACGCCCTTCTCCTCCATCAAGCGCTCCGCGAATCGCGCACTGGCCGTGAACGCTCTGAATTACTCATTTCCCGACTTGTTCGTCTGCATTGGGAACCTAGACATCTGGAGCAGGTTAAGATTGAATACCGGCGCAGATATAGTGAGCGGCTCGAGGAAGCGATTGCTGAGGAGATTCTTGCTTTGAATGGCGGTCAGGATTGGGGAGAGTTCTGTATTGAGCTGGCGCGGAGTGTTTAACTGGGTCTCTTTGAGATATTGGAGATGGGGTGGATGGTTGTAATGGATTTGATGGAGGTTTTTGGGCCGTGTTGCACACCTTATGGAATACATTCGGCATCTGAGTTGTTCTTATCATTTTCCTTATGTATCTTTCAGTAGCTTGGAATAAAGCCCAAAGGTATACTGGTGATTAGATGGTCTATCCATTCTATCGCTACACATAACAAAAGATTCAGATTCAACCTACGCTCTCCCGGACCTCCTCCTTCTGAGGACATTAAATCTTTCTCTCCGGAAAATAAGAGTCGCCAGCGTATTCGTCGCGAGATGAGCGAAGACCACCATAAGCACAAAGAAAACAAGCACGATCGGACCCAAGATGGAGAATACCGTGAACCCATAAGAAGCATTCTGGAATGCCAAATTATGAGCCAACCGATCCGTCCCAAGGCCGACCTGCATCGCAGTCAAGACGAGTGCAAAGTACACTGTCATCGCGGTGATGGGCGTCAAGTACGAGTTGAACAACTCCCCGTAAGTTTGGTACTTGGGCCGGTAACCGCGGAGGAGGTTGCCACGCTGGACGGCGTAGATTTTATTCAAACGGGACAGACGCAGTTCACCGAATTTGTAGCGCTCATTTATCCGGCTGGGATTTGTCGTGTCGTTATCCAGCAGATTCTGCACAAGGCTCCGCCACTGGGACCAAGTCAGACATGCTGGAAGGAGGTTGCTTGATTGGGCGATGGAAAAGTCACTGGGATGCTGGATCAAGGCGATGTAGGAGGCCAGGAACCCCAAGGCGGATCTTGTGAGATGGCATCGGTCACAGGTGACCCCTGAATCTGACAGCTTGTTGTAGGGATTGTTGTTGGCTGGTGACTGTTGCTCCTGTTGCCTGGAAGTCAAGCAATTGTCTTTGCACAATAAGTGCGCAGCCCAGAATCGGGAGTCCAGTAGGTATTGGGGCAGTGGTTTGATGTGGATGCGCCGACCTGGGCCCCAGACTAGGTGCATGTCGGTCTTTTCGTCGACGATTATCTCGCGCGACACCGAGACCTGGTAGTTTAATGGTCGGGGCGGCATAGGCCGCCCTGCTAGCCATAGGAGCCCGTGGATGTTATTGAGGCGCTGGACTGAGAGGTCCAGATATAAGAATTTGGAGATTTCCCTTAGCGGGGTGTGCAGGGACAGGTCATCGTCTCTGAAGGATGCTGGGAGGATATCCTCTAGTTTGGCTAGTCCATCGTGGTTTGTGGTCGGACGGAATATCTCATCTGATATAGGACCGTTCGGCATTAGATGGGTTGGAGAGGATTTGTTGGTAGGAAGTGAAGTCGTGGTGGCTGGAGTGAGATGCACATTTGGATAGGCGCTCTGGACACCGCGCTACAACCACACGAGGCAGATCATATTGAAGCCCAACGTAGAAAATTAAGGCATGCAGTTTCCAATGACCTTGACTTGGTAGTTTGTCGTCCCTGTTTTGAATTTGCCGCATCGTCTATTTTCGCTCCTATTTGCCGCCCCTGGTCTCTTAGTCCCCTTAAACGTCAATTTTATACCCTCCCAAACATATCACTCACCCAAGCCCCTCCACTTGAAGCGACAACTTCTGTATCGTAAAGCGCTGTTGGTGTTGCCTTGATTGCATACCAGGCAATAAGCTGGCAGCTGAGGCTCAAAGGGTTCTGGGCAGAGACCACTTGCGTTTAGCTACTGGTTGGATTTTCTATGATAACACCTAAATTAGCGCGATTATCGTGCGGCAGTGCTAGAAAAGTCTCTACTCCTTATTGAGTGTTTGATGTGACTTAGAATAGCACTGCGCCCATCTACAGGGACCGCAAAGAGGGATCCTTTGTTGGGCGAAGTAGGTCGAGGGTCGAGGGGGTTTGGGATATAAAACAATGGAACACCCACTGTGACTTTAAATGTATCCATCATATTTCAAATCTCTATTCACAGTATCTGTTCTTTTCCAATATGTTCGTCAACCGCCAGAAGGCCTTCATGAGCCGAATGTTTGACAACTCCGTCGCGATAAATCTACCCGGCCCGCCTAGCCGACGAAAGCATGTCTGTGAAATGCCTAGAAAGATGATGGTGACTTACGGATGTACATGGATTTCCGTGGGCAACCTCACCAAGCTCGCGAAACGATATCGTCAAATGCATACATCCTTTCCAACCCGACGCAGCCAATGACCTGAATCCGCAGGAGCTTCGCGATGTCTATGTTGTTGCCAGGCCAGACAGATGGTCGCATGCCTTCACTGACTCGGGCTCTCCTTGTTACTGGTCTCTTTACTGCGATGGCCATTACTATCACATCGAAAAGGGTGATAAATCGGTTCGCATTACTCTTGGAGATGACGACTACTCGGAGCAAAGTCAAAAGAAATTCATTCCAAATGGCCCTCAGATGCCCCCTTTTATTGCCTATCATTTTGGAAAGACGGATTACTCCCCGCAGCAGATTCATGGCATTGCTGTATGGGTAATTGAGCAAATGGTTCGAGATGATCTATCTGAGACGAACTATGGGCACTTCGTGTCCGGACTCGCAGTTCGCATTATATGCGCTCCGAGAAACAGCACAGTTCTCATGGGCAATATGATGCAGATCTGGGCGCAAGACCAGTTCCTCAGAGCTGCCGGGCCTGATTCCGTCGTTCCTAATGGGTTTTATACTGGAAGCCGCCTTGTCGGTCCTACACAGAAGATCGATACTTTCCGTGCGAGAAAGTCACTCAGGCACAAAGTCGAGATAGATGCACGGCAGCTTGCTGTCTGCTGGTTTGACGGGTTGCAGGGATTTATTCCCTCGGATATCCGAGAGACCCATCGCTTCATTAGAGGTTGGAAGGTGGCAACACAAAGCAATATCACAAAGACCGTGGAGTCTACTTTGGGGTTGGAAAAAAGAACTCTTCGACGGTCCTCGAACATCAACGAGCAGCCACGTATGGCGGTCATTATCGGTCTTCGTGACGGTTAGTGCAACGGTAATCCTAATTTATTTGGAATGGATATTTCTAACGGGTTTCTGTCTAGGTGCTAAGATACCCAAGGACCTTGAGGAAGTACACTGCTTCTCGAGCTTGTACTACATCCGCTCGAAGAGAAGCATGACTGAAGAAGGTAAATATGTGACCTCTCAAATTTCTTGCTTGACTTTTGCTGACATATCGCTTGAATCAGAGTTCTTGGAGGAGATGAAATTTATCTATGGTGACGATGCCACAGTAGCTGCCTTAAACGCAGGATTTCAGAATGAAGCGAAGCGATATTTGCGAAAGCCGCGTGGTCAGGACGCCAATCCCTCTTCTGGGGAGACCCAGAGATCGAAAGACAAAGCAAGGGAGATTCAAAGATGGGATACCCTGTGCCCTTATGAGAATGACCTAGACAGATGTGCAAAAGGATATGGGTACCAGATCCTCATAGACATGGCCTTGGTCTTTCCGAGCGCACCTGGCCCATACCGGAGGGTGAAGGGTGAGCAGTGAGCTAGATGATGTTTTTTTGCGGTCGTGCTGTTATTACAATATACTTCGTTCTGTTACTATTGTATGAGTGAAAGTTCTTCCTTACTGGCTGAGTTATTGGTGCCCGGTGCTTCAACTATAAAAGCCACATTGATCCAAGAAAGGGGTGAAATCCGGATAGAAACCAAAGCCCCGAGTCAGCTTGGGAAATAGTCAAGCCTTTGCCAACTAAGTCTTGTCTGGATACAACGGTAACACTATCTAGCAATCTCCCTTTTGGGCTTAATGGCCGTCTCCGCATGCACTATAGAGGAGGGGTAAGAAAGTGGCACGCGATCCTACTATACATAACATGAATTAAACGGCCAAAGCGTTGGGACCAATATATCTAATAAATTGAGTTAAATTGGTATCCTCAATAAGATTCGCAATATTCGTCGAAATTAGTATGAAGCTTATGTAGTCAATAGAAACATAATCGTAGGCTGAAAAATGGGACAGTATACTCCGAAGTAACAGAGGAGACACCAAACCGAGCATAAAATCTTGGGTTCATTTCCGAACTCCGTTCAACACAGATCTAAAAACTCAGACCGTCAAGGCTGAGAATAATTGCAACAAGATTGGACGGTGAAAAGACAACCTGACGTATCACGGCAAGCAAGCTTCAATAGGAGATGGATCTGCGACAAACCGCATCTTCGGATTCCGCATGTACTCGCTACGTGGCCCACGCGACCTCAGCTCACCATGCATCAAGTACAGGATACTTGCATCAAAGTGGTACTGGCAGTCTCCGATCGGAGAGTTGCCCCCAAAGCTGACGTGTAGAACCAATCCCCCTGCAAGGGGAACCCCTCTGATTTGAGACCTTGAAGCCCTGGGCACACAACCCATTCTCTGCAGGTCCCAGAGATCGACCATATCCAGGTACTCTGAAGATCTGGATGTGCATACTAAAACTATTCACGATTTGGATGCCATGCTCACATCCTGCTGATCGTCATTTCCCCGCAGATTACTCTTGTACTCGGGAACTAAACATCAAGGCCTGATATTGCTTCATGCATAAGCTCAAAGGGCCTTGTGCACATGATGCTATCACGAAGGCCATGCACTTGGCACCTCCTTTGGCTATATTTGACCTATCGGCGACGACTTCAAGGCCCCCTTCCTGTTTTCTCCGCAACCCTCATTTCTCACCTCCACTCACGCCTTTCTCCACACTTTTATTTACGCCATGCCGTCTTGTGGTCAGTCATCTGCAAGGCTCTTGACCGAAATCAAGGAGTTAAGTTACCCCGATGCTCTCATCCACTGGCGCCACTCCCTCGTCGATCCGCATAGACCGCCGCTTGTCTTCCATGCGACCTCGATATGCTGTTTCTCCTGTGGACTGCTAGACCGCGTTTTTGACGTGTTTAACTTCGGCTCCGAGCTAACTCAAGTCCCTATCCCCGTCCTCGCGACCATTCTTCTCTTCCCCCTGTCCTGACCCCTCACGTCGGCTTTGGTTTCTAGTCTGTCCTATGGCCGAAATTACTGCATGGGTCTTGCTCACGGACGCTGAAGGAGGTCATCGGACTTGCATGCTCGGGGGTTTACATTAGACATGCACGTCTGCTGTTACATATGTTCACTACGCTAATCCTTTTCGATCTCCATCCGTAGAGAGCACATTCTGGCATGCGGGTCATGGAGAGGCCCTTCCCCCCTCTCTTGGTAGTTGAATGCTGGACTATAAAAATGCACTGGCATTCCTCTCCGGTAAACACAACGCCGATCCCTTCCAGCATTTGTTCTATCCGCCTCGAGTCCAAGCTTCTGAGAGCTAATTTCCTTTTACTGCAAATAAATAACAAGGGCCATGCTCCTGTAGTGACTTTTTCGTGCATTTGTCCAATATTTTCCCCCCCATACCCCGTCATAATGCAGCTGTCGCGCCTCAGTCTGCTGGTAGCCTCCTTTATTGCCTCCATTGGAGCGCAATCGACTTTTACCCCTGCTCGCCCTCCGTCTATTCCTCTTGCTGTCAGGTCGCCCTACCTAAGCACCTGGCTTAATGCCGGTAGCGATGGCGGTAATGGCGGATATCTGGCCGGACAGTGGCCTGTGTTCTGGCAGTACGTTGGGGAGAAACCTACTCAAGTGTACTTACGTGCTAATAGTGAATGACTAGGAACCAAGTGACTGGGTGGTGTGGTCTCATCCGTGTCGACGGCAATGTTTACACTTGGATGGGATTGCCTGGCAGTAAAACTGTCAACCAAACAGCGTTCGAGTACACATCAACCAAGAGTATTTTCACCATGAACGTGGAAAACAAGCTGGAAATGAACATCACTTTCATGTCGCCAATCACGCCCAGCGATATTAAGCGCCAATCTCTGGTTTTCTCGTACCTCAATGTCGAAGTCTCCTCTCTCGATGGACAGAAGCATGACGTGCAAGTCTACGCTGATATCTCTGCTGGTGAGTGAATCAGTATCTACTAATACGGACAGTAACTGATGATTCAATAGAATGGGTCTCTGGTGACCGGTCTGCCATCGCAGAGTGGGAGTACGGTACCACCAACGGCGTGGCCTACCATAAGGTCCACCGACAGACCCAGTTGGCCTTCTCCCAGGTCAATGAGCAAGGGGAATGGGGTAACTGGTACTGGGCCACCGATGCAACCAATGGAATGTCCTACCAGTCTGGCCCAGACACGGTTGTGCGCGGCCAATTCTCACAAAACGGCAAGTTGGCCAACAGCGGGGACACCAGTTTCCGAGCCGTCTCGTCCAACTGGCCTGTCTTCGGATTCACTTCAGATCTGGGCTCAGTCGGCTCATCGCCTGTCAGCACGCTCTTCTCACTTGGTCTTACCCAAGATGAAGCTGTTCAGTTTGCAGGTTCTTCTGACTACGGTCCTTTGCCTTCCCTATGGAAGAGTTACTTTGACACTGAGTTGGCTGCGCTTTCATTCTTCCACCATGACTACAGCGCGTCTAGCTCAGTCGCAACTGCCTTTGATAACAGAGTGGCCACCGATTCTATTGCCACAGCTGGTCAGGACTATCTCACCATTACTTCGCTTTCGGCTCGGCAGGCTTTCGGAGCTACTCAGCTTTGTGGCACACAAGATCATATGTACCTGTTCCTGAAGGAGATCTCGTCCGACGGTAACATGAACACCGTCGATGTTGTATTCCCTGCCTATCCCATCTTCCTGTACACCAACCCGGAGTTTCTCAAACTCGTTCTCGACCCTCTGTACGAGAACCAGGAAGCTGGAAACTATCCTAACGATTATGCCATGCACGACTTGGGCTCAAACTACCCTAATGCTACTGGCCACTCTGATGGTCGCGATGAGAAGATGCCCTTGGAAGAGTGCGGAAACATGCTCATCATGACCCTGGCATATGCTCAGAAATCTGGAAACAACGAGTACTTGAGCGCTCACTACGACCTGTTAAAGCAGTGGACCAGTTACTTGGTAGAGGACGCCCTCTACCCGGCAAACCAGATTTCGACTGATGACTTTGCCGGTTCATTGGCGTGAGTGAACTCCCCATTGCGTGATAGTTCAAAACTGACCCGCATAATTAGAAATCAAACCAACCTGGCTCTCAAGGGCATGATCGGTATTCAGGCTATGTCTGTCATTGCTGAACGCACCGGCAACACTGAGGATGCTGCCAATTACTCGAGTATCGCTCATGACTACATCACCAAGTGGCAGGGCCTTGCTATTGCCAAGGGCGCCAACCCACCTCACACGACATTGTCCTACGGTGATACAAACAGCCACGGTTAGTACAAATCATGCTCTCTAGTTCATGCAAACATTCTCACGCAAACTGCAGGTCTCCTCTACAACCTATTCGCCGATGCTCAGCTCGGCCTGAATCTGGTTCCGCAATCAGTTTACCAAATGCAGAGTGACTTCTACCAGACAGTTGCGAACAAGTACGGTGTGCCTCTCGACACTCGCCATACCTACACCAAAGGTAAGAACTGTAATAATTCGTTACTCCATGCAATACAATACTGATATCATTCCAGGAGACTGGGAATGCTTTACCGCAGCTATTACCTCGGGCAACACTCGGTCTATGTTCATCAAGGACTTGGCTACCTGGATCAACGAGACACCGACTAACCGAGCTCTGACCGACTTGTACGACACAGTTTCCGGAAAGTAAGTTGCTAGACACTCGAGTCTCCTATTGGATGTATCACTAATCAGACCTAGCTATCCTCAAAACACCTTCGTTGCCCGCCCCGTTATGGGCGGTGCTTTCGCGCCTCTCCTAGTCCGCTAAGCGGACCTTCGCTTCTTGTCCATTGATTTAACCTGACAAGTTATCATTTTCTCCCAGTTTTCTTTCTTCCAAAAACGCTCGTTTGTGGGTTCTGGTCTGGGGTTGACCCTGCGCCAGAAAAATGGGAACATGTGCTGGATCCCCTCCGGTCGCTTTATAGTTTCTAGACTTGATGTCTTTTTGTTGTCTATACCCATCCATAGTCTGTTGGTGAAGGCTATGTGAGTTCTGCTGCGTGTGAGCCAGTCAATATATAACAAGCTGTCCGTTTTATTACATTCGTATGACACGATACAGGTTCTAGTAATAAGGATCTCCCGGAAAATCCTGATAAGGACTAGGTCGTAAAGAAAGAAAGTAGATGGCGAGACTAGTTTGGGAACGTACTATAAAGCTCTCGCCTCTATATGGGTGTGATCTGCCCCATGTTCAGCTTGCTCCTGGGTAAGTCAAAGAGTGCAAAACATAAAACATGCTCTATCTAATGAACACCATTACTTCCCTTAACTTCGTTGCTTCCTTTGACATCCCCCGCAGCCTGCAAGAATTCAAAAACCTCAGCATACAGTGATCCATCACGAACCGCTTCATAAATAATGGATACCCAAGATCCAATGGTCTTCTTGGGGCGGCCATCGATCTTGTTGCCCCCCTTGTCTCCAGCAACAGGGTGCTCAATCAAACCTCTATGCAGGGGAACTCCCAATTTCTCGCGCACGAAAAGATATATTGCCTTGGTGCCCTGTCCGAGATATTCAGAAGTGGTGGGCTTCCGGAGAAAAGTGTCGCGGTGAACCAAGTACGAGTCCAGAATAAGGGCTTCAAAGGCCTTGGAAATCTCAGCAACATTCTCAATAGAGACTATAGCAGGTATACGGTTGGCATGCACCACAAGGGCTGTTGCCAGCGATTGGGATGCCTTGTGGGCGCGTTCATCCGCATCGTAAGCAGCAGCATCGTACCATGCTTCCTCGAAGAGTTTCCAGAACGAGTCGAAGAATTCATGTTCAACGGCCGCAAGCCAGCCCTCGCTTGGCAAGAAACTCGTGATGAGTTGGCGGGCGGGATCTCTTAAGCTGGCGATGAAGGTCCGGTGGAGGGTCCGCAAATCCACGCCTTGGCAGCCTGTATACAGGCAGTTGGCGACAATCAAGGATAGGACCTCGACTGCAGCCATGGTCTGGCGCGCAGAGAGGAGACCTAGAGAATTGATGGCTTGGTTGTGCATCTCTGCGGATTGAACGTGGTTGCTGACTGGATTTGCGAGGAAGCCGAGTTCAGACGTGTAGGCAGCAGTGTTGACGTCGATACCCTTGAGGCAGAAGGAGAGGCTAGGGTCATCAGCCGCCAGATTGGGCGGGAGACCATTGCTTAGGTCGTGGTTGATCATCTCGCTAGTCTGGCTGAAAAGCATCTTGCCGATGGACTGCAAGGCCAGACGGATCTTCTCTGTAGCCGACGTGACTGAGGCGGCCTGGAAGTTGGCACCGCAATGGATGTCGTTGTCTAGAACATTGACAACGGGGTTATCAGACGTCGAGTTGAGCTCAGTATGGAGCTGCTTCTCAGCGCTGAGGAGGTCTTCGAGCTGCGGCGAGAGCCATTGGGGTGAGCTTCTCAATGCATAGCGCTCTTGGGCCAGCCCCGCCGAGAATCGGTCTTTAGTCTGCTCCAAACCATAGGACAGTTTTGATCCACAAAGGAATGTTCGGATGTTCTGTGCAGCCTCAATCTGTCCTTGGTGAGGGCGTGCTGCGGCAATGAATGGGTGTGCCCACTCGTTGTTCGCATACAGGGCCTCAGATGATAAAGCAGTCAGCAATTGCGACACTACAGCCAGCTGATTGGCTTCGTAACACCCAAGACTAGCAACAGCAGTGGCAGCTGCCGTTCCGTTGATGAGTGACAGACCCTCCTTGGGACCTAAAATAATAGGCGTAATTGAGGCCTCCCCCAGAGCTTGCTCCGCGGTGATGACGCGCGGTAAGCCCTTTCGACTGCCAACACGCACATAGACGTCCGGTGATCCCTGGATTGCTCCAGAGATATATGACAGAGGCATTAGATCACCCGATGCAGAGATAGAGCCGCGAAGGGGAACGACTGGTACAATATCTTGCTCTAGTAATTTGATCATGGTGTCAACAACATTGCGAGTCATAGCAGAATGGCCGCGAATGTTGGCATTACACCGGATGAGAATCATAGCCCTGGTCCAGGCGCTAGGCATACTGTGAGACTCAAGGTACTCATGACCACTGGGTGAGTCTGATTTGTCTTCCTTTGTTAGGATGGCACTCTGCGTATGCTGCATTAACGCTCGCTGGAGACCATATAAGTCGTCGGTGCGAGTATCCGCACTACCTCCAAAGCCAGTATTGACACCTAGGCTGTTGCGTCAGTCATACAACATGGTCACTTTCACAGTTATATAAGACAAAAGCGCTTACCATACAGATAGAAGCCCTTCGAAAGGTAGCCCTGCAGGGTTTGAACACTTGCCTCTATGCCGTGAACGACATTTTCGTCCTCTTTGAGGGCGAGCCCAACGCCGTTTCTAGTAGAGGGAAATATCAGCTACTGTCATTAAAATCTGAGTCTCTCCACACTGACCTCGCTACGGCAACAACGGAGGCGACATCCAGCGATTGGCCATCGATGAGAATGCTACCGGCTTTTATATGTTTATTGAACTTAGACCATGAGTTCAATGTCTGCTTAGCATGTGGAGTCGCCCATTGATGGTTGACATCATATGCGAGGGCTGGTGAGATGCTGCCCATGATGGAAAGAGATGTCGACTGTAAGTAGGGAAAGTTTGAACTCTTAGGAGTAGCGGATAATACTGTGAAGATTAATGAATTTTGTCGAGGTACAGTGGCTATTTATCTACTTTAAACAGTCCGAGTTATCTGACTAGATGGTCCTCGGTAAAATCTACAGAAAAACAAAAATAGCCTATCTCCAGGGAGGCGGCCTACACGTTTTCGAGACATGCAATAACTCCGGCCATCAAAATCGGGATTTCATGATTGTTAGGACCCACTCGAAATATAATTCGGAGACGGAATTGTTTTGTATTAAAACGAGTCTTTCTGCATGGTCTAACGTATCTAGTCCATGGCGATACGACTCGTGTCAAGAAGGCACGGAATTCGAGGTGGCACAAAAGCACGATAACGTAGCAATGCCGCCAAGTGTGACTAGACTATCCAGTCTACATAACCCCCAAATTCTCCGAATCCTTCTTGGAAAAGAAAAATGGAACGCTCCACAGGTACCGGAAATGAGTGGGTAGGGCGTATTGGAGTGCATTGCCAAGCGGGACTTATTGTTTTTTTTAGATGAGAATGAGGTGCCAATTGCGAGTTGAACCAACTTGAAAAGAAGACATTAGCAATTGCTTGACGCTGTTAACCAGTGATAATTACGACAAACTGTGTCCTTTTCTCCTTGGCATGTAGGGCACATTAATCCGTATTCTAAACTATATTGCCTTGAATATTGCGAATTATTTGCACCAAGAGTGACCATTGTACCGAGGTAGGGATAATCCCTCTAGGTAAGATCAACGAGGATTACTGTTGCATAAGTTAGCTACAGGGATAGTTGAATAACGCATAGGATCTAGACTATTTAGAGCCTTATAGCCTAATAAAACCCTATATTCTTTTAGGACGTCACTAAAAGGACCCCATGTTAAGCGTTTGGACCCTACCTATGCTCACTAAACCCGATTAGATCTCCTGCAGTAATTGTATTTCTATTGCATTAATCGGTAAAAATGTATCAATTTTTTGGCGATGCTAATGCCCCCGCGAGCGAGTCTGGTCGCAAGCGCTTCCCTTTCAACAATTTCACGTGCTTTTCATCTTTCCCGAGAATCGGCGGTCATGGATCCGAGGTACTTCTATTTAACTATGCATCCCCTAGTAAAATTTAGTTAGTACCATCCCTTACCGACGAGCAACTAGTTTCCTAGAGCTAAGAATACTTCCATTTACTATGCAACCACCTAGTTTAAATTAAATATCTACCAGAGACTAATTTCCTAGCAAGGAAGTAGTCCCAAATAGGAAACTGATGCTGATTTCAAAACTCTACCGATTTGAAGGAATCCAGCTATTCTGCGACAAATATTTTTGAAAAAAGCATGAGAAAGTAAAAAAATTGAGTCAATTTTGACGTGTTTCCTCTTGGGAAGATGTCCAATGCTTCCTGAGGCTATTCACAGTACTCTCCGACACTTCGGAAGCCGATCGGGCTAGGCATTCTCATCCTGGGATATCGATGGAGCTATTCTTAAGCCCTGAGATGTCGCCGGCGACGTAGGAATGCCTGCAAGGCAATGCCTAGGCCGCAGCCTGCGCTCCCTAGGTTGCCGGTGAAGCTATTCCCGACGCGTACGAGGCAGGACCGCTCACCGGCGATGTGGGGTGCTTTTTTTACTAGGGGGCTGCAAAGTACCTCGGATCCATGACCGCCGATGCTCGAGGCATTAGCATTGTCAAGAAATTGATACATTCTTACAGATTAATGCATTAGAAATACAATTACCGCATGAGACCTAATCGGGTTTAGTGAGCGTAGGTAGGGTCCAAACGCTCAACATGTGGATCTTTAGAGATGCCCTTCTTTTATATCTGTTTCCAACGTATGATATGGGTATTGTTATCTCTAAGCCTTTGAGCCCCACTCCGGGACTCCGCCGGATCTGCGTTGCCCGCCCGGCACTAAGCCGGTTTCGGTTCCAGCTACGTGTAGTTAATGAGCGTACCGGGCTAGTAATTTTCACTCTCTCACTTGAGGTTCGCATCTCTCTTCTTATTTAGATTGAGTTCGAGAGTAGATTCAGCTCGTTAGCCGATCCGCAGATCATATTAGACAGTCTGGACTCTTACCCTCGGACTTGCATCGTATGATCGTGATAGATAGCCTCCTGGACAGTGGGAGCTTTTATGCGACTGGATAGTATTGCCACTTTTAATATCCATCTCACCTTTGGAATCTAGTTTACTTGTATATGTGTCTTGACTGCCCTGGAGTGAAGTATGGACTGCCCAAACACAGCCTTCGAAAAGTGTCTATTAAGACAAGAAATTATCTTGTACAGATGGAATATACACCGAAAATACCGTATAGATGCGGTAAAATACACTAGTTATCTCTTTGATCGAATATTTAAGAAGGATCGCTTGCTGGATTTTGATCTTATTTTGACCAGACGTTGTTTAACTCACCTCAACTCCCTATTCGACACGCCTTCCCCCGTCCCCCGCAATTGGCAAATATGGCCTCGACCCATAATGCGAAAAAGGAGCCGCCTCTGACCTTGCCTGCGAATGACAGCCCCGGAGATCCAGATGCCGTGCCTGATCCCAACGAAGTGTTTTGGGATGACGACGCAGATCCTTCAAACCCTATGAACTGGAGCCCCACTTATCGTTGGTCACATATTGTTTTTGTTACACTTCTGACCTTTGTCACGTATGTATTACTCCGGTATACTCCGCAGGCGCTAGTGAGGCGGCCCGATCCCGCGGATCTGGCCAAGAATATGTGCATGTCACTGATGCATGATGTTACAACACAGCTCGCTAGCTTCGTCCATGCTGGCACCTGCTGTTCAGGATGTGATGAGGTCTCTTGGATCGGACAATGCCGAACTCGAGTCCTTTGTCGTGTCGATCTATGTGATCGGATTCGCCATTGGCCCACTGATCGTGGCACCGATGTCTGAATTGTACGGCCGCGCCGTTGTTTACCATGTGACAAACATAATTTTCCTTGGGGTTACCATTGGATGTGCCTTGAGCAGAAATGTGGGGATGTTTCTGGCATTCCGCTTCATCTCCGGCTGTGTAGGGGTAACGCCGTTGGCTTTGGGTGGAGGTACCATTGGTGACCTCATGCCACCTGAACGGATGGGAACCGCGATGGCTGTTTGGGGTTTAGGATCACTAGTGGCACCTGTAAGGCTCCTGTTTCGCTCCTCACGACCTTATTCATTTGTCTCGGCCGAAAACCTTCTGATATTGACATTACATCGTGTCTAGGTTTTCTCTCCCATTGCAGGAGGCTACCTAAGCGAGGAACTTGGCTGGAAATGGATCTTTTGGGTTATTGCTATTCCGGTAAGCGCTGGCGAAACCAAACCATGAAAGGGCATCGTATGCGGAAGCTAGCGACGGAGTACGTTCTGACTCAAAGTGGAGTAGATGGCCATCCTTTCCATCTTATCTCCCTTCTTGCTTCGTGAAACATACGCCCCGATACTACTGGAAGCTAAAACTCGGAGACTTCGTAAGGAGACAGGTAATCCTCAATTGAAGTCTCGTCTGGATCCTGGGGTCCCTCGCCGGGAAGTCATCTTTACGGCTCTCATTCGTCCTCCCAAGCTTCTGTTGACGTCGTTTGTGGTGACGATAATTGCACTAGACGTAGCAGTGGTATACGGATATCAGTATCTCGTCTTTACTACGCTGGCATACATTTTCCAGGACAAATATCACTTGTCCACTGGCATATCTGGGTTGGTTTACTTAGGAAATGGAATTGGGACCATTTTGGGTAAGTTGATTCTCGCACCACTTCTCTGGCTTCAGATGACTTGAAACCCCATGGTTTATGTCGGACCACCTAATGAACTTTTCATTGCACCAGGCATCTTCATCATTGGCTACGCGTCGGATAAAGTCACCGAACGAAAGAAGACGAGAGCATCCGCCTCGGGCAAAGATGTCCAGCCAGAAGAGTACCTGTGGCCTATGCTTCCTTCGGGCCTGGTAGCTCCCATCGGTCTCCTTTGGTATGGATGGTCGTTGCAGGCGAATACACCCCCAGTGGTCCCAGTCGTTGGCCTTGGATTGTTTGGGTTTGCCATGATGGGCATTTTTCAGCCAGCGCAGGTATATTTGTTGAATGCTTTTCCGATACATTCTGCCTCCGCCCTGGCGGCGATGAATATTCTCAGAAGTTTGGCCGGGGGCTTGCTGCCTCTCGCAGGTCAGGGCCTGTACGATGCTCTGGGAATGGGATGGGGCAACAGTCTCTTGGCATTTATCGCATTGGCGTTCGCTCCTGTGCCCTTTCTTCTGAAAAGATATGGGGCAAAACTTAGGATGAAGGACCGGAACATGAAATGATATCTATCCCGGGAGATGTGGTGCGACAGTGTTACATAGTTGAAGGGAGCCGAAAGAAGAGTTCCGACGTCCGAAGGGCGACCATGTACACACTCGATACACACTCGATATTTCTCTCTCTCTATCATGATAAATTCACCTTTGAATTTGAATACAAAAAGACCGCTGCGAAGAATCTTAAATTTTTATGATGACCACAAGCTTTAAACAGCGATATCGCAAGTCCTTCGACGCCATTCAGGGGTCACTTTTTTCCTTCGGAATCCGAACACAACTTGTTAAGCATCCGGATAGAAAAAACAGACCAGCTGCAACCATATACGGCAATCCAGCTAAAAGCCCATCTTCCTGCATGCCCCGACGAAATGCGGCAGCCAGGATAGGCCCGGAAACCATGGCACCAGTGCTTTGGGCGAACCCAATCGCCGTGTTCACAATGCCAACTTGCGATGGCGATGCCAATTCCATGGCCAAGCTTCGCAGGGCTGAGTAGAATCCCCATCCGAATGCGAGCAAGCTGACGCCTGCTATGAATACCGCCGGAGAAGTGGAAACGGCCATAACGGCCGCACCCAAAGTTAGAATCCACACACTACCTTGGACAATACGGAGATCTTTGGCGGTAGGGGACAGATGTAATTTTTTATTCAGCCAGTCGGAAAGACAAGGGAGAATGAACAATAAAGTGACGAGATTGATAATGCCCTTCAGCGTGATGAGTGAACTGGCGCGCGCAATGCTCCAAGAAAAGCGGTTCGAGGCATATTGAACAATAAGCTGTAGCGCTTGGCGACCGATGCTTGCAAGTAGAAATGCACCGACAGTGCAAAAAAGATTGGCACTCCAGGATGTCGTAGAGGGGTTTTGAATGTGGTTCCATTGCTGCCGTATGGCATTTTTCCAACGTAAAAATGTTGAATCGTGCACTGTGGTCGAAATATGTCCTTCTTCTTGACCCTCCTGCTCCTCCAGAACCTGTTGGTGATTGCATGGCGCAGGGTTGAAAGGTATGCCGGAGATAAAAGCGGCTCCGAGCAGCCCCAAACACTGAAAGAACAGACCCAGCAGGGAAGGAATCCATGGGTTCCACGACATTAAAAATGCAGCAATCGGAGTAGCGAGAATTTCGCCTAGTAGAGTCGCCGCAAATAGGATGAAGAAAACGGATGCTCTGAACATAGATAATCCTCGTTAGTCAATTTGCAACATAGGAAAGGTATCATGACTACCTTTGATTACTTGGCACTAGATCGGTAACCATAGCATAGGCCATAGCGGTCGCTATTTGGGGACCGCCGCCGATGATTTGAAAAGCGGGCGTCGCCCAAATCATCCGTTGCGGCAGGACGGAATTAAACAAGAAGATCAAGCGCATGGCAGTCTCTTCGAGAATGAGCCCAGTCAAGCTAAGTGCCAGAATGGGCTTACGCCCTATGCGATCAGCAGCAAATCCATATGGAAGCGCAAGGAGAATTCCGGGTAGCTGGTCAAATGTGTCTTTCCAACCGTTTATCAGAGCTAATTCTCGTTGCACTTGAGGCGATTTGCAGTTGTCATCTACCAGCAACAAGTTGCTCCCTCGAGCCTGGCGACAGATAATTGACTCGAGAATTCCGATGTGAGGAGCATAGCCAAGGTAGTTGCCAAAGTCAGCGGCCACGACGGAAAGGCATACAAGGAGCAAGAGACGGCGACGGGGAAGGGAAGTGATCTTTGGCTGGTTGTCACGGCCAGCCTCGAGGGCCCCTAAGAGGGGCGCCCGCTCGTCAAGCTCCTCCGGTGGTGAGGATGCTGATGGCTTTCGCGCAGGCATAGCAGGCAGGGGTGGGTATTGGTCTGGATTCGGTTTTCCCGTGAACCTCTTGTGAGGGAGCGTTGGTGGAGTTGCCTGATGAGGATATTGCTAAAACAAAACAAGGTCCACTCGGCGAAGGGAATTCCAGGGGCCGTGCAGGGGAAGCTTAGGGCTGAGACGCCGAGAGACAAATGAGGCAATATTATAGTTACATCAGGCGATCAGGATTCTCCGACGGACGCCCGTCTCCTAGGTGCAAGCCGGAGGCTTGAGTTGCCAGGGTCCTGACGCGTGTACCCCTGTCAGTTTCGCCATCTCTCCTTTTGTATTTTGCAACTCTCAAAATCCAACCGCGTAATTTTCAGATCTCAATTTACAGGTATTGATCGCTTTCTCTTAGCCAATCATATTATTGCTAGAAACAATGGCGATGTTTCTGCGCGATGCAGCTAGGAGAGGGCCTAGGTATGTCAATTAATGAAAACTGCCGATAGACTTCCTAGATTGGGAGACTGATGCACCAACAAGCTATGAAGAGAATCAGGGAAGCATTAAATGTCTCTTAAGCCCGACCTCGCAAGGATATCTCATGCCCACCCAGTGAACAGTACTTTGTCCTCAAAACTCGAAGTATCCCAAAATGGCTCATCAATTCTGGCAAGATGAATTTGCCGACCTTGAAACTTCTCCGTACCCAATTCTCCCTGCTACAAGTTATCAGCCTAAAATCAAGCGCATCATTGAGTACAAGGTAGACTGGCCGGATTGGAGCCATCTTCATGATGATCATTATACCTTGTCCACCAGATTACAGGCCGCATGGGCAATACTGTTGGCTCAATACGCCAATAGCGAGGACATAGTGTTTGGAACAAATATCGGCAGCCAACGAACGGCTCTGGACAGAGCTGACAATGCGTCAAATATCCATCGCACCTGGAACTGTGTCATGCCTTTGAGAGTTCCAATACCCTGGCACTCAGACCTCGCAGAGTGGTTGCGGAACGTACAGGCTCGAGTTGAAGCTATTGAAAAGGCCCAGGCATGGGGAGGATTGGACCGGATCAGGTCCTGCAGTCCACAAGCGGAAGAGGCTTGTGATTTTCGCACAGTGCTCCTGATTCAGGAAACGCAAGCCGAACAAAAGGTGGTGAAACATCCTACTGTTTTGGACAGAACTTTGAACGCTGATCCGTGTTTGCCATTAGGATACCCGACCCCTCACGAGAAAAGGAGCCTGCAATATGGGTAGTGTGGCCCTAATTGTGGAATGTCACCCGTCTACTCGCCCCTGTAGCCTCTCTGTACGATTGCACCTCGACGAGACTATTTTGAATGCCGTTCAAGCCAAGCAAATGATGTTTCAGTTTACAAACCTTGCCCGCCAGCTCTGTGAAACGAATCTTCACAAGCAAGGAAAACGGATCGTTGACCTTGACATTTTGTGTGAAGAAGATAAATCTCTCATCTGGAAATGGAACGGATCCCGTCCGCGGAAGAACGACATCTGCGTCACCGATCTGTTCAGTCAACAAGTCAAGAGATGTGCAAATCGACCAGCCGTGCATGCATGGGATGGACTTCTTACATACTCTCAGTTGGATGAACAATCGACGCTACTGGCCAAGTACTTGCTGCACTCCCAGATCGCCAGTCCGGGTGGAATTGTTCCTGTCTGCTTTGATAAGACTGTATGGACGACAATAACAATATTGGCTATTGCGAAAGCTGGAGCGGTCTTCATCCTGCTTGATCCGTATCAGCCTCGAGGTCGTCTAGCAGCAGTCATGGCTCAAATCCAATCGTCTACTATTTTGGCAAGACCAGACACGGCTGAGCTAGCTCAGTCCATCACCGATCATGTTGTGATTATTGATGAAGGATTCAGTGAGGGGAGTTCTTTTGAGACCACTGTGTTGGGAGACTCAATGTCGCCATCATACCATCTCTACATCGTCTTTACATCGGGTAGCACCGGGACACCCAAAGGTGTCACTATATCGCATGCAAATCTTTCCTCCGCTGTTGCCCACCAAGCACGCGCTCTTGGATTCGATACAGGCGTACGTACCTTTGATTCATCTTCCTATACCTTTGACGCATATGTCTGTAATACCTTCCATACTCTCCTGACGGGCGGTTGCCTGTGCGTCCCATCAGAGGCGGACCGAATCAACAATTTGCAAGCGGTTTTGCAGCAGATGGATGTCGAGTTTGCCCAATTGACTCCCTCAACCTCCCGGTTGCTGGAACCCAATAAGCTCCCACGCCTACGCACGTTGATTCTTACCGGCGAGAAAATCAACCGCACTGTACTTGACCCGTGGCTGCAAACGAACGGGCGAGTACGTGTCATCAATGCATATGGACCATCCGAGTGTACAATCATGTGCGCGACAAACCGAAACATTACCTGTGTCAAAGACGCAGAAAGCATTGGTTTTGGTCTGGGTGCCACACTCTGGATCGCTGATCTGCATGAAATCAAACGCTTGGCGCCGGTCGGGGCAGTGGGTGAGCTTCTCATCGACGGGCCTATCATTGGCCAAGGATATCTCGGTGATGAGCAAAAAACCAGGGAATCTCTGGTGCAAGTTCCCAATGGCTATTTGCCAGGGGTGGCATTAGCACCAACCTCTCCAATGTTTCGTACTCGCGACTTAGCAAGATATAACCCGGATGGTTCGATTTGTTTCATTGGGCGCGCCGACACACAAATAAAGATCAATGGACAGCGCGTTGAGATCGGCGAAGTTGAATATCATCTCGGTCAGCTCTTACCTGAAGGGATAATTCCAATCGTGGAGGCGGTACAGTGGCCCTCTGGCCGGAAGCAGCTTCTGGCGTTCATCTATCGTGGCGAAGAGGAGACAGAGTCATATTTTGAAATCAAATCGCGGGTAGGTAGCCTGATTCTGGGACTGGACGAGAAACTCTCCGACAGACTGCCTCGATTCATGATACCGTCGGCATTCTTCCCGCTCGAAACAGTCCCCATGACAGCCTCGGGAAAGACAGACCGCAAGACGCTCCGAAACATGGCGCTCAGCTCACCAGATCAGCTATTGGACCCTTATTCGGTGGAAAACTTTGAGGCGCCATCGATGGATGATGCAAACAGACCGTTGACCTTGGATGAGCAGATTCTGTGTCGGCTCTGGACACAAGTGTTGATCATTCCAAACGAAATTCCAATTCGAATCCATGACAACTTTTTTGCTAGGGGTGGAGACTCACTGGCCGCTATGCGTCTTGTAGCATTGCTTCATGATGAAGGATACGGTGGAATCAGCGTTGCAGACATTCTCCGGAATCCACACCTTGCCGATTTAGCAAAGTTGGTACGAAGACAAGATCAGCATGACCTGTCCGATGCTGCCAATCTGTGTACTGATCCATTTACATTGCTGCTGGGACCGAAGCCAGACCAAGATGCGATAAATGCGATTCGCACCAGACTCTCGGAGAGCTGCCAGTGCAATGCGGCTGACGTAGAGGATGTATATCCCTGCTCGCCTGTTCAGGAGGAGATGATGGTGCTGGCAGCTCGAAATCCGCAGTCATTTGTAACACAAAATGTGCTGACTTTGGAGCCCGATGTTAATTTGGAAAGGTTTGTCCTTGCGTGGAAGAACGTGTCATTGTCGATCCCGATAATTCGGACGCGAATTGTCGATATGAAAATGAACCATCTCAGCGGTGATAAGAATCACAACTTTGCTCAAGTTGTATTGAAATGGTCTATGTCATTGTCTCAATACCCAAACCTGGATGAGTCTCTTCGATGCGAGCGGGAGGGCATGGGAGTCCATGAGCCACTATTCAAGGTCGGGGTTGTTGATCGTTCTTCCTCTGACGGAAAGCCAAACTCTCGGAGCCAGGTCGTCTTTACAATGCATCATGCCGTCTATGATGGTTGGCTCCTGAATCGGATTGGCGATGAACTATCTCGCGAGTACAATGGCTTGAAAGAAGGAAACGACTTGGGAGGAACTCTAATTCCATACCGAAATTTCATCCAATACCTTCATGATTTAGACTCAACAGCAGCCGAGAACTTCTGGACAGATCATCTCCAAGATGTCAATCTGGTTGAATTCCCAGCGCTTCCCGAGGCAAATTATAAGCCGTACGCAACGGCTGTTGCGGAGCTCCATGTGTCTGAGGTCGACTGGACAAACGCCAACGGCATTACAGCAAATACTATCGTCCAGGCCGCCTGGGCCCTTGTCTTGTCCAAGCACTCCGGAGCCAGTGATATTGTTTTCGGGGCGACACTGTTAGGCCGACAAATCTCGCTGCCTGGGATTGAACGAGTGGGTGGCCCGACCATTGCGACTGTACCGATACGCATAACGGTAGACTGGGAAGAGCAGGATGTGCTGGATTTGCTTCAAACCACACAGAACCAGGCAGGGCAGATGATTCCTTATATGCACTATGGAACTTCTCGCATTCGTCGCCTGAACTATGATACAGAGCGTGCCTGTCAGTTCCATACATTCCTGGTTGTGCAACCAGCGCCGCAACCCTCACAATTAAGCCCTCAGTTGCTATTTGACCTTGGAGGTGGCCGTGACGATATACAGGCTTTCAATACCTATGCAGTCATGCTAGAGTGCACCTTGACCTCAGATGGCCTCGATGTTCGAGCGAGCTTTGATGAAACGATTCTGACCAAGGTGAAGGTTGAGGAAATGTTGGCAGACTTCCAGAAAATCCTTTCTGTCCTTTCAACAGCGCCAAAGGAGTCCTTAAGCCTGAGAGACCATGGTATTCTAACACCAATAGAGCGAGATTATATTGCTGCTCTTCGGAGGCCAGGCCAGAAGATCCATGTTCTTCATGCAGAAGCTCGTCTTAAAGAGTGTTTACCGGATGAAGTGACAGGTTGCGCGTTAGATATTGTGAGCCTCCCAGGGATGTCCAAACAGCTGGTGGCTTTTATTTCTATGGTAGAGGAAAATACGCCCTATTCGAAGCTGCTGAATGTTCTTTCCGGGCCGCTTGCTCAACTTCCAGAGAGACTCAGCCGACACATGCTGCCAACGATGTTACTTGTGCTTCCCCAGCTACCAGTGGTAGAGCGAGGCCAAATTGACCGAGATCAGTTGCGCCAAATAGCTTCCGAAACACCAACAGATCAGTTCCTGGATTACTCGGCTTTGCTGAAATATCGAGGGGTCCACGATGATCCACCACAGACGAAAGCGGAACTGGTCTTGCAGCGACTCTGGGCAGCTACTCTTGACATTGACCCTTCTTCAATCAGTCGACAGACCTCATTCCTGTCTATTGGCGGAGACTCACTTTCGGCAATGAGACTCGTTGCTCGTCTTCGGGGTGAAGGATACTCCTTGGAAGTTGCCGACGTGCTGCGCACCTCCCGCCTAGCAAACTTAGCCACCAAAGTGATTGAAGAGCTCCCCAACGATAGCGCACTGTCGCCCATCCTGGCTGAACCATTCTCACTTCTCGACCAACCTGTCAGTAAAAAATATCTGGCTGAGGCCTGTCATCTTCATCCATGGGAGATTGAGGACGCGTATCCTTGTTCCCCCGTCCAGGAGGCAATGTTGACACGGACCGCCGTCCGAGCTACTGAATTCGTCTCTCGTGGTCTTATCTCGCTTCCTGTGAATGTTGATGTCAATCGCTTGCAGGAAGCTTGGAGCACAGTAGTCGCTGAGACTCCGGTCCTTCGTACTCGTATAGTCGAGTCCGCGGGGCAAGGATTGTTGCAAGTTGTTACAAGAGCGGCGGTCCCATGGCTAGAGTTTGAGAGTCTGGAGAAGGTAGCTGAGCTATCCACCGGGATAGGGCAGCCCCTGCTTTGGTTTGCCCTCATAAGATCCGCTTCGGAGACGGACAATAGTTCTTGTGGCACTGCAGCCCTCTTGATGACAATTCACCATGCAATATATGACCGATGGTCCGCATCCTTGGTCATGAAACAGGTTGAGTCCATCTATGGCAACGAGACTCCAACGAAGCTAGTACCATACAGCCGCTTTATCCAATATCTTGTGGAGGAAGTCGATGAGGAGCGGTGCCGGGAATACTGGAAGGGCTATTTGGCCGACTGCGCGGCACCGCAGTTCCCTGCTTTGCCTAGTCCCAAGTATCAGCCAATGACCAACATGGCCTCCAAGAGAGAGCTGTCGGGTATCGACTGGCCCAAGGACTTCACCCCTGCAACAGCTTTGAAAGCCGCTTGGGCTATACTCATTTCTCAGTATTGTAACTCTGACGATGTCGTCTTTGGGTCGACCGTTATGGGTAGGCAAGCACCTCTCGCTGGGATTGAACTGATTGCGGGCCCAACAATTGCCACAATTCCCATTCGGGTAAAAATGGATTGGGAATCTTCGCCTCTGCATAATTTGTTACAGGACATCCATTCGGCGGGAACAGAAATGATCCCATTTGTGAACTATGGACTCGGCCGTCTACGAAGGTTGAACTCAAATACCCGCCAGGCCTGTCAATTCCAATCTCTACTTGTTATTCAACCCCGAGACAAAAATGGCAGCGAGAACAATTTCCTTTTCTTGCAGCGAAGCGATGATGATATCAAGGGACATACGTACGCCATGCTTCTAGAATGCGTCTTGGGTGGCTCATCGCCAGTATCATCGAATGATGCAGTCACGCTGAGCCTGAGCTTTGACGACCAGGTCGTCGATGGACCACAGGCAGATCGGATCTTACTTCAGCTCGAGTACATTCTTAGGCAATTGTGCAAACACGAAGATACGATGGAAAAGACATCACTTTCTGAACTTGACCTGTTACCGCAGCAGGATCGACAGCAGATCTGGGCATGGAACGCAGTCCTCCCAGAAACCATCAACTCTCGGGTTGACAAACTCATCGCGGATCGAGTGAGGGAGCAGCCGAACGCACACGCGATCAGCGCCTGGGATGGTCAATTGACCTACCGGGAACTGTTCGACAAGGCTCGCCAACTTGCCTATTGGCTCGTGATAGAACAAAGCGTTGGACCAGAGGTTCCAGTCCTCCTATGCTGTTCAAAAAGTGTGTGGACACCTGTAACTATGTTAGCAGTGATCATGGCTGGTGGCGTGGTGGTTCTCGTGGACCCATTCCAGGCCGTTAAACGCTTGCAAGCCATTACTTCGCAGGTAGATGCCCAGCTGATTCTGGCTTCGGCAACAACCAAGGGGATTGCTGAAGAGATCACTTCTTCCGGGGTGTATGTGGTGAATGATATGTTCATTCAAGGCCTACAGGATCCACCCACGGTGGGAGACTACTCTTGGATTCCATTTGTCTCAGGGAGCAACGCTCTATACGTGATATTTACTTCGGGCAGTACAGGAACTCCCAAGGGTGTCGTCATTACCCATGCCAATGCCTGCAGTGCTGTGGTCCACCAGAGGAGAAATTGGGACTATGATAACACCACTCGGGTATTTGATTTGACCTCTTACAGCTTCGACTTTGTGTGGTCGCCGTTTCTCCACGGCCTCTCTGCGGGTGCCTGCATCTGCATTCCCTCCGACGATGATCGTCGTAACAACATTTCGGGTGCAATCCGTGAATTTGACGCCAATTACATTAACATCACGCCTTCTCTGGCTCGATCTCTGGACCCAAAATCTATTCCAGGTATAAGGAAGGTCGTTTTCGGAGGCGAGGTCCTTCGGTTCGATGATGTCACTAGATGGGGGGAGAAAGTCAGGGTTATGAACGTGTACGGTCCGTCCGAATGCACAATTATCAGCACATCAGCGGTCTATGAGGTGGATTTTACCAGAAGCGTGAACATTGGCCAAACTCATGGCCTGAACGCCTGGATCACAAGCTGCAAGCAGCCAAACAAGCTGGCGCCCATTGGTGCCATTGGAGAGCTTGTTCTTGAAGGGCCTTTGGTTGGAAGGGGGTACCTGAATGATCCTAAAAAGACAAGCAGCAAATTCATATCGAATCCTACCTGGCTATCTCCAATCGACGGTGATTCGAACTCTCATCGCCCGCGGGGACGATTGTATCGAACGGGTGATTTGGTGTATTGGAACAGCCACGGTAGATTGATATTTGTGGGCCGAGCGGATACGCAAGTCAAGATCCGTGGACAACGCGTAGAATTGGAAGACATTGAAGTCCATGTCAGCCGGTTCCTTGGCCCCTCTTTCATGGTGGTGGCTGAAGTCATCGAGATAAGCAACACTGAAGACTTGGGATATAGCTCTCAGAGGCTGACTGTGTTATTGTCGTCTCGCAGCTGGAATGAAGATGCAGATGTTACGACTGAAGAACGGCAGCACTTGACAACCGCAAAGCGCGAAGAGCTTAATAGGCATCTTATGCGAACTCTCCCGGTGTATATGGTTCCCTCGTCCATCTTAGAGTTGAACCAGATCCCCCTTATGCCGTCGGGAAAGGTTGATCGCAAGAGGCTCCGAGAACTTGCAGTGCATGTGAAGTTGGAGGAGAGTGAACAAGTTGCACCAGTCGAGGAGCCACGAACAGACTACGAGTATACATTGAGGGAGTTGTGGTCGAACCTGCTAGGAATATCAAAAGACAAGATCGGCCGCCAGGAGAATTTCTTTGATCTAGGAGGCGATTCCCTGATGGCCATCCGCTTGGTAGGGGTTGCTCGACAGCAAAACCTTCCCTTATCGGTGGCGCTCATCTTCCAAAATCCACAGCTCGGTCAGATGGCAGCTCAATTATCAATTCCTTCTAAGGAGGAGGGGACACAGCATTTTGATCCTCCCGAGACTAAGGACTGCTCCCCTTCAATGGAGTCCCCAAGGGAAGCGCTTCCCGGGAAAACCCAGGTTGCAAGCCTTCTTTCAATCCCCGAGAATATGATCTGCGACATTCTTCCAGTCACTGACTTTCAACGATATGCCATTCGATCTGCGTTCACACAACCCCGCACTGAATGGAACTATTTCTCCATGAGATTCAGTGGCCCTCCTGACACCACGAAACTGACTAGTCTCTGCCATGAGCTTGTATCGTCCCTCGATATACTGCGATGTGTTTTCCTGCCTCATAAATATGATGGCCAATACATCCAAGTTGTTTTGCGCGCCTTGGAAACAAAGGTCATTGTCACCCGTGAGCTTGATGAGCCATTGGATGAAGGGTGTGCGGAAGTCTGCTTAAATGAACTTCATGAGAAGCTAATGCCCGGCTCGCCCTTTGTCAAGTTCTTCATTTTCGAGGCTCAAAAGCATAATATGTCTCAATTGGTGATAGGGATTTCCCATGCTCTCTACGATGGAATCAGTCTGGCACATATGGCGGAATATATTGGCGCGCTGTATGACGGACGACCAGTCCCAGTTGTCGGTCAATTCTCTTCTTACATCAACTCGATCACTCCTGCTACCTTCAATCCTTCTCGAGCCGCTTCTTGTGCCTACTGGCGCTCCCTATTACAAGACGCACCGGTCCCAACTAATATAATCTCTGATAGTCCAAGACTTATTTCCGGAAAGCGAATACGCATGTACAGGGAGGTCAAGTTTTCTCATCCTCCAAAAGGTGTCACTGTGGCAACGGTGTTCACTGCTGCATGGGGTGCAGCCCTTGTCCGGATCAGTGGAAAAACTGATATCGTGTTTGGCCGTGCCGTCTCTGGGCGGACATTGACCTCTTCCACTGCAGACCATGAGGGTGTCATGGGACCGTGCTTGAATCTTGTACCTGTGCGGATGAAGCTTTCAGACTTTAACTCTGTCGGTCCATTCACTGCCGCAGACAAGTCCCGCATCATCAAATCGCTTCAGTCCCAATTCATCGACTCCATCCCCCATGAGACCATCGGGCTGTCTGAGATTGTGAGGTGGTGCACCGATTGGGGACAAGATATCTCCGAATTTGGCTCCGTATTCTACTTTCAAAACATTGATACGGAAATCTCTGTTCGAGCGGAAGGCCAGGGCATAGCCTTTTCCCCTCTCCCACTTGACCGACCAGATCCCCCCGAGCCACTCCGGCTAAATGTCCTGTCTCGGGGGGAGAATCAATACACGGTGGAACTGTTGGTGCCAGAGCAAATGATGAAAAGCAACACTGTCTGGTCACAGCTTTTGGATGCGATGGTGGAGTGGTTTGATGCTGTTCCTGACAGCGATAATCACCTACCTAAGTATCTCCCATAAGCTAAGTTACAACGCGTTACTTCCTCACTACCAATATGGACTGGTACATTCTAGACCCCAGGCTTCTTTCATTGTTTCCGCAGAGATACAGAATTCCAAGCGTAAGACTTTAACCTATATGGTTCGAATTTGGCAAAGTAAAACATAAGAGTGAAAGCATCATATGGACAGAAAATACCCTGTTTTCCCCTTGTGTTTCAATGCGCCTTCTGGGCTTCAGGGTTAAATAAGCCCGTGTGACCTTCTCTATGGTAGTGTGGGTTTATTCCTACTGGTTTACATACATCATAGTGCTTCGTATCCAGGCAATATTTACTCGGACTTTTCGTTCCAATCATCAAAGGACCGAATCAGATCTAAAAATCGAAGTTAGTCAGATTGTCACCCACGGCAGTAAGCAGAAAGGAAAAACAAACCGTAATACAGCATCATGCCTTCCAGATGCACATCCAACCGAATACGCTCATCCACCGTGTGAATGTTTAGCGTTCCGCCTGCCCGAGCTGGACTCCAGCGGTAAATATTCTTCGACAGAGGCCAATAGAAGCGTGTGTCTGTGTTTCCGGTCATAACATCACCGGAAACAACGACTTTAGGCTTGGTGTCGGATTTGGAGAGCGGGTTCGGGTGCGATTCAAAGACGCTACGTGCGACGCCAGAGAAACGCGCCCACACTTTCGAGGTGAGAGGGTCCGTGGGTGAGATTGGAGCTGGGATAAGGGGAACACTGAGAGGGGAGAGAGTGATAGTGCGGTCACTTGCATCTCCCTCCGTGGATTCCTCCACACCAGGGAATGCAATGCGCATCGTGAGGTTGTGCTCTTCGGCGATAGGAGTGATAAGTCGCACAGCGCGCTCGCGAAGCTCATCGGGTGTCTGGTGAAGTGCAACGCGGTAATTCACCACGGCCTGAATCTTCTCCGGTAGAGCATTTGTCTTGACACCTCCATGGATCAGATCTGCGGCCTGTGATGTTTGCATGGTATACCGGACCGCGGGACCGCGGGAGCTGGCAACAGCTTCTCCCAGAGCGGCGGGATCCTGTGCAGCCAACTTATCCGCAAGCCAAGTCTCAACGTGGTCGGGCGAGTAACGAGCCTGGCACTCGAGCATGCCGTGTGCCGGGTGGTCAGTATCCAACCAGGCAGGGAACAGCTCCTTCCGCTCGAGCTCATACAAGATCTGAGCCATGATACCAATACCAGTGTGCGCAGGCGGGATAGAGCTGTGGCCACCAGGGACAGCAATATCAAGGATCAGGTCGAGACTACCCTTCTCGCCGACAGCGGGGAGGGCATACAAGACATCATCGTTAGCATCAGCTTCATTGCCCAGAGTCTGCAGACCCATGCCGCCCTCGTCAAGAATGAAGTCGAACGCATCCTTGCCATACTTCTTTTCAAGTGCCGCTGAGATCGAACCAGCGCCCAGGAATCCGTGCGATTCCTCGTCGAAGCCGAAGGCAAACAAGACTGTGCGCTTGGGTTTCCAGTCTTGCGAAAGAAGGTCTTCGACTACGGACATCAGTCCAATCAGCACGTTCTTGCAGTCGCTTGCGCCGCGACCCCAGATCCATTCACCGTCGAAAACACCTGCAAATGGCGGGTGAGTCCAGTCTGAAGGATCGTCGATCGGGACAACATCTTGATGAGCCATGAAGAGGATGGGCTTGCGCGTTGTGTCAGCTCCTTTGAAGGTGAAGACTAAGCCGAGGCGGTTAATATGCTCAACCTCTGCGCGGTCGTGTCTATACAATGAGCTTAGTACTTTCCCCTATCTCTTTGCTTTACGGCTTCATGTGCCATTCAATGTTTAGGGTATGTTTCTTACACCAGAGGAAACATTTTCTCCAATAGCGATTGGAACTTCACCACAGGCTCGAATGCATCGTCATACGGGTCTTTCATATAGTCGCCCACGGTAGTTGGGATTTGGACCGCGCGTGAGAGACGATCGGCCTGGCGAGCGCGGAAAGCCTCGTCGGAGAGGAAGATTTCAGACGAGTGCAACCCATCATTCGGAGTTTCCACCTTTGGCGCTTGAGGGCATATTTCCTGAGCAGAAGGTTTGGATAGAAGATTGTTGTAATAGCTGGAGAGATCGGCGTCGGGGAAGAGAAGCTGTTGTGCCGGGATGTTGAGAGCTAGCGATGGCACAGAGACCAACCCGAGAAGAGCAACAGGTTTCATTATGGAGTGCTAATTATTTCCAGGTAGAAAAGGCTGAGGGACCGGAACGGCTTTTGAACAAGGAATTGCTCATAGTTTATAGGCAGCACGTAAGGGCCTATCTTATCTTCCCCTCTCTTTGGCTCGGCTGGCGGGCTTTGCCGAACGCGAATTGCCCTATCAGAGCCGCCTTTTTGCCGAGAGTTGGGGTTTATTGTAGTATTGGGGGGTCGCCTTGGATTGTAATAAAATCTTATTGCAGATATTACGGCTGAATATTAAGAGCAAGTAAGCAATATTGGCTGTCAAGCCATGGAAGACTAAACTTATTAATATACCTTGGCGTTAACTTAGGAATAGCTAAGGTACCTGTCAGAACGTTAAAGATAAAAGTTCACTTAACTTATCGCGAATTCAATACTTCGCAGGTGGAGGCCTGGCAATTTATCCTCGCCATGGTCGGACTGCAAGTCTGAAGTGCCATAATGAACTGAAGCAAATTGACGTTCTTTAAGTACAACTCCATCGCGTGCATTATTTGCAACAACTTCAGATATCCGGTACATCATGGATCGACTCCTCAATCAGTTCAGACGAGTCTCCTCCTTGTTTTCGTCGTAAAGCCAGCCGAAGGCTTGATAGTACCAATTACAAACAAACATGCAGGCATAGTTATCCGCTGTTAATACATCAGGAATATCAGTGGAAGATGTCCGAAATAATTTTGAGCCGTGAATGGAACGTGTACTGACCATTCTTTCCAATTTCCGGATTGACTTGAAGTGTGAGATCCAGTTATTATGTTTTCTTCCTTTTTCTTCTTTTGCTAAAGAAGATCGAAACAAAAATAAAAACGCACACACAAGCCATCCATTTCCGCCAAATACTCCTGCGAAATACCGATTGAAGCCTTCATTATCATAAATTATAATATGGCTGAAATCTGCCACTTCTACTGCCATCCGTGTAGCCTCGGCGAATTATACTGAATTGTTCGCCGGAGCTTTGCCACACGGCATCTTCCCAGTATATGCCCTTGTAGAGATTAGAGAGCTCTTTAATATCTGATCTCATTCCGTGGCTAACATTGTCGGAGTCCCTCGCTTGTAGGTATTATCTGGAAGTGCGGCAGGGCTATTGATCATCACTACCCTAACCCACCTTGGGCGAATATACCGCGGGGAACCTCTACGCAATTGGTGTATCCAGAGCAAAGTGCAATCGAGCGATAGATGGCCCCTAGATGGTTGACCGCCTATCATTCGTTGGCTTCTAGTCTATAAATAAGTTAGTCTGGAGTGTAGTCTCCGCTGCCCATCAGGTCGCCTGTGTGATGCTGTCTTCTCTGGAGCTTGACTTTGGGTGTCCCTTTTGGATGAAAATCTTTGCTTTAAATCACGAAACTCTGTATATAGGGATCGTCGGTAGGTCAGTACAAATCGCAACATCGTGGATAAATTTGGGGCGATCACAAGCCATGTGGTTTTCTCCACTGCTGGCAGCTCCATAACTTGCGCAAAAATTAGGATCCCCATTTTTATTAGAAAGCCCAACGATAAGCAAGAAATAGGAAAAGGGGGAGACACCGATTGACAGGGAATGTCTGGCCAAAAGGGAGAAAAGGTTCGAATCAACCATGGGTCAGCCATCGAGTTACCACAGAGCTTAAAACCACCCCTGATGTCGAATGATCGTAGCTTCTACGCTTGTACAGGTTCCCCATGTGTGACTCCAATTTACTACAGTAGGATACTTCAAAATGATGGGAATGGAGCAAGGGCTAACCAGCAGCAGTGTCAGCTCTCTCTCTAGGCAACACCCACTTCAAAATCCCTTGATACTCGATCAAGTTAAGGCGGAAAACCAGAAACACGCGAACTCATCCTCGGTTTCAGTTATTTGACCCCTTCGGCCCCATCCACCGTCATTGGCTTCTCGAAAAGGGAAGCAAGGCGCCACATCTGGGGATGCCGAGCGGGCGATCATCAGCTTGCGAACCAATGGGACTCCGACGGAAGTTCAATAGAGCATGTCGCTTAGTGTTTCAGGATGATCACTAGCTTCCCTCGCTCGATGACTAGAGGTTTGCGATGTCATCGGTCCCAGCTGTACTCCACAGAAAAATCATCGAAAAATTAGTGCCCGGGTGTTCCTGCGACTGAAACAAACGGGTCCTTTAAAGAAGCTTGTCGGTCCCTTTTTTTTCCCTCACGCCTCTCACTCTACAACATTTCCCTCTCTAGTCGATCTTTTTCTTTAACTGTCAAATAGAACTATCGATCTTTCTTATCACAACAACACTCTCTCTAATTGAACTCGAATACTTCCAACTACCACCCAGAATGCATACCAGCTACATTATCGCGGCCCTTGCCCTCGCTCTTCCCGTATACTCGACCCCTTCGGGAAATGTGGGCTGCTACTCCGACGCTGGTTCTCTGAAGAACAAGGGCCCCTACAGCTACCAATCCCCCGGATACTGCGAAGATGTCTGTTTACGTGACGGTCACAAGGTCGCCGCCCTTACTCGTGGCAACATGTGCTACTGCGGCGACACCCTTCCCTCGCAGTCCGCCAAGGTCGATGACGACAAATGCGATCAGGTGTGTCTTGGATACCCCTCCGATAGCTGTAAGTCACTCGAAAAGCACATGCCGCATGAACAAACCCAAGAACAACAACTGACCAATTTTTCCATCTATATAGGCGGCGGCAAGGATACCTTCACTGTCTACTGGATTACCAAAGATGATGCGGAAAACATCTCTCCAGAGAACAGCTCCACTACTGCTGCATCCACCGCTGCCACCGCTGCCACCGCTGCCGGTGGAATCATCGTCGCGCCAACTGCAAACTCCGCCCCAAGTGGCATCGTGACTACGCCCTCATCTGTGAACTCCAAGGGCGCCAGCGCAATCGCATCCAAGTCCGCTAACGCCGCCTCTACCGCGGCCACATCGGCCACCGCTTCAGCCTCGCCCACCAACAACGCCGCCGGCACCATCCAAGTCGGATCCTCGCTGATTGGCGCCGTTGTTGCCGGCATGGGCTTGCTTCTCTAAGATGTCCTGGTCTTGAAGCTTCGGTGATTGGAACTGCAACTGTACTATCTTTTGTTTGTGTCCTTGTAATTCGTGTACATTGCATGTACAGATATATACCCCTCGCTGGTTGTCGACAAGCTCGTCGTGATATCGGGGATAATATCCTTCCTTTTTGACTCCCCTGTGCTTAACCCGCTGGTCGGGTCGGGATGGATGCATTTACTGCCTCTCTTGGGATGGGCATTCTACACTCGTTTTATATTGTGGGTTCAATACAACCACTTTAGATTAGCATTTACTGCTACCGAATGGACTTCGATATCTATTTCGGGAATTTCAGAACTTGCCAATAATCTTAAAGAGCTAGGTTAGATGTTCTTTTGCATATTATTCCACATAAGCCCTTGGACACGTAACTGTCCAAGTTGATGCCGAGAACTACTTTAAGAACTCATTTGGCCTTGAAGTGAGAAGGGAAGTAAGGACATCATAGCATTAGTATCCACTCGTCGACGAGGGCTTACACCAGCCAAATAACGATATACAAAAAAGAAATTGACGAAGCGAAAAGAATGAAGAAAGAAACAAGAATGCCGCACATTTGGTCCTAGGGTATCTCGAAAACATAAAAACTACCGAAAAGCTCAAGGGGGAGAAAATGACTGGAAGTTCTACTTGGGGGCGTGCTCCAGTCCCGGAGGAAGCTCTCGTCCCTCTCTGTAGAGCAAATTGTCAGCAATGATTATAACACTGGGGCGAAAGGATGTCTTACCGAGTGAACTTGCGACGCAAATTGCGCGCGCGGTCCTTCAGGTTCACCTGGCTACGGGACTCGAGCCTCGGCCCGCCCGCAGTCGCAGGGCACAAGTTGTCGTGCTTCTGAATCTTCGCGTATGAGGAGCCGAACTTAGCCATGAGTTGGAGCAAACGCTCGTCCTCCACTTCAGTCCACCGATTGTTGGCCTTGCGAGTATAACCGCCAGAGTGCCGGTTAAGCTGGGCCTCCCAACGCGATGTGCTGGCACTCTTTTCGGCGGTGTCATCGGCCTGGCTTCCATTCACTGGAGCCACTTCAGCAGAGGGTTGCTGGGATAGGCTGGTCTCATTCAAGCTTGATTGGAGCTGCTGGGCCGCGCTTTCGGACCTCGTGCTAGCCTCAGTACGTTGTTTCTTTGCCGCAGGGAAGTTTTGCTGAGGTTTTTCGGCCCTGCGATCGACATCGCGGTCATCATCTTCGAAAGCAGCATCATCAGAGAAGTCACTAGAGTAGGAGGTGCGTCGAGCTCGCTTCTTCTGGTTGGCGTCACTTGGCACTGGGTGTTGTCTCTCTGCGCTCTGGCCATAAACGGAACTGATTGGCGACACTTGGGCACGGCTCTCCTGGGCATCAATGAACCGAGGACCTGCAGGCAGAGTGTTTCTAGCGTGTAGTCTTTCTGTAGCTGTTCGCTGCGTGCGTTCATCGCCCGGCGAATCGAACCATCGGCCTGGGTTATGGCTGACCCGATTAATCCTCGCAGAGGCCGAGGGGCTGGTCGAGGCCATGATTCCACTTTCTTGTTCCCGGCTGAGATCCAGTTCCTCGTCGTTGTTATGCAACGTGGAGTCTTCCGCAAGGCTAGGATATGTGAGGTCCGGTGATTGCTGGATCTCGCGCTCGGGGGACTCTCGATTAAAAGTCGAGGGTCCGGGAAGGTCCCCGTGGTTCGTGGTTCCTGCATCCAGAAAACGATTGGGTGCCTGCGACTCAAGGACAGACAAATCTTGTTGACGGCTGTTATCCATGCGGTTCTTGAGAGCTGCCATGGAGGACGAGTTTCGATAATGGCTACACGAGAAATGTTAGCAGCTGGAAAGAAGGAGATTTTGCTTCACATACCTCTTGGACTTCCGTCTTTCAGGCTCCATTCTAGTAGGTTGTGCCTGAGCGCGGGCAATTTGTTCGGAAGACTTTTGAGGTGTGGCCCCTGGCTGGGAAGTCTGGACCTCGGGTTCGTGGTCAACAACGGGAGCCGGTTCCACAGTGCGTACCTTTTGGGGCGACCGGGATTGCTGGATACGTGGTTCTAGGGCACGGCCTTTCTGGGGTGTAGACAACACCGAACCTTGGCGCAGGTTGGCCGGGCCGACCGAAGCTGAAGCCAAGCGACGTGAAGACGCTCTTGTCGCCTGGTCATCTGAAAGACGCTTCAGGTCTTCCTTGATTTCCCTGTCTCGCCCTTGGATCCAGCGTGCAAGCTCCCGCTCGAAGAAGCGCAGTTTGTACAACCTTTTCAGGCTGTCAACGCCGTCATCATAGATTTCATCGCGAAGGTCGCCGAACCTCTCATACACGGCTTGTTGGAACTTTTCGGGCAGACTCTCAGGAAGATGCCCATCCTCATCCTGCAGGACATCAGGCAAGTTAAAGCCCCTGAAGGAGGTAGGTATTTCTTGGTTGTCATCTTCACCAGGTATAAGGTCCATGCAGAATATCTGTCGCAGGATAGCGAGTGGATCAAAGTTTCTGAACTCACGACGCCTTTCCAGCTCCATTATGAAGAATTGGGTTCGAATGTTTAGAGCGAGATCGAATGTCTCCTGCTTTAGCTCGGTTGCTCCAACTGCGCCAACGGTGGTTCCGTCCGCAAAGCGGTCCACGAAGCACGCAGGAAACTGAGCATCCAGATCTTGGATGACCTGCGACTTGTCCTCGGTGCCGAGGCTTGGAAGAAACATGTTTAGGGCCAACAGAGCACAGTTGGTGAGATATAGGCTTGGAAGGGATCCCTCCAGCTGAGCGGATGAAAGCCGTTGACGGAATTCGGAGATGTCTAGAAATGTCCTGCCTTGGCGGACAAGAGGCAAGTCGCCCAATTCGTCTTTCATGCCTTCAACGAAACGCCTGAGGCGTTTGCGATTCGGGTTGGTGTGATCAGCGAGTCTTTTAGCCTCCTCTGCAAGAATACTCGGCATCAGATCCTGGGGGATGATCAGTCCCAGGACATTTATCGCTTCTTGTTGGACATGAGGCAGCTGTCTTGCGATCTCATCGGCGACGTGAGCATTATTGGGCTCCAGATCATTGGGGCCCAAGGTTGTACCGGAGACATTAGTGTGACCTTCATGATTCTCCGGCGACTCAGGTACAACTTCGCGACGACTGGGTGTGGGATCCCTCGGGGAACTTGTCAAAGGCTCTTCTGGGAGGCGGCTCAGCCCTGGATTGAGTCAGAATAAATTCCGAAGTGGACAATGCAGGTACAGAGAATTAATTAATGCAGTGAGACACGAAAGCGCCAACAATAACAAAGAGCATGAGAAACCAATGAGTCTTCAGCCCTCGAGTGAAGGAAGCCATACTTCATGAATGCCAAAACAAGTGTGGTAGGATAGGACAAGCTCAGACTTGAAAGAAGCAACGAGGATCAAGTTTCTTACAGTTGCGCCCAAAAGACACCCCAGTGCCAATGGCACTTTTGGAAGGTAGGACATTATCAACATCTCGGCTTTGGCTCCTCGTGATTCGCCGTGGGTTTGGTGACGCGGTAGGAGCCATGAAGGCGGTGTATCTTTTCACGTGGAGAACCCTCGCGTCGCAGCGTTGTTTGCGATCAGATTATCTCTCCTCAACAAAGACTGGATAGATCAAGAGTCAGGCCAAAGAAAGCGACCTCTTCTAGATAGCCCTTGCGTGGAATGAAGCGAATCTGATGAAATGTGGTGATGATAGGAGTGGAAAAGAAGAAATGATGAGGGTTTAGGGGTTGTTTGCCAAGAGACAGAGGGCTTGGCGCGTATCAATATTCTTCCGTAGGATATCAGACCGCTTTGGGCTGTCACCTGACAACGGATGTCAGGAAAAATGATAATCCAAACCCTAACCCTCCAGACCCTAACCTTAAACCCCAAACCCTCCCCTTGAAGCCATTTCCCAGGATTAGTGAGAACGCCGAGCATGGTCGGCTGCATTGTTTGGCGACTCTGCCGGCAGAGCGGCAGAGCAGCAGATGGCCAACTCCCCTCGCCTGAGGTCCATGTATGTACCTGTCCACTACAAAACACCCTAGATTTGCTTCCCTTCTAGGGAGTAGACTTAAACCATATTCTGCCTTTGGCAGCACCATTTCTCGCTCATAGGCCGAAGACACTGTACATTACACCATGTTCAAGAGGTGTCAAAGTTCCTTCTCAAGGCTGCAAGACAGGATGCAATAGAATCTGGTATCACTCTTTTTTTGGGAAATAAGCACTTCGGAGACCTGTGACGCTCACTGTAGTGCTGCATCCGTAGAGCCTTCATAATATTTGGTGACATGCTGACCACAGCCTGTTTCTTTGATCAGGGATTGCAAGGAGGGTACATACTCAGACAACAATACTCTGACACACATTATGCCCATTACTTGAAGGATTTGTCACATTGAAAACCTGGCTATTGAGTGGACCAGACACAGAATTATATCATTAAAACAGAGATATGTCACAAAGATGCAATCGACTTTTACAAGCAAACCAACCGCCAAAAAATGTAAATGAGGACCCATAAACACATAAAACCGCGGATATGCAGCGCTCTAAAAGATGGCTTCTATGAAGTAGATGACGCCAAAAACGAGGAATGCAGCAGCACCGCCAAGAGTCACTGAAAATGTCATGATTAGCTTTGTTCTTAAACAAAATAAGAGGATAATATGGATACATACCAACACGCATGCTGACCCGGCCAGCGATGGCCCGACCACCAATTACGGCGGCGGCTGTGCAGATTCCATGACCGGCACTGGCTCCGATGGTCACCCACCAGTAGTCCTGTCCGGCTGCCATGGCGATCGTGGCGATCTGGCTGCGGTCACCCCATTCACCGAGGAAAGTCATAGCAAAGGTCTGCACCCACGCGGGGCTGAGAAGCAGCGAGAAGAGGTTGTTCAAGCCCGAAACGAGATCGTTTAATCGCTGACGGGGTCGAGGAGAAGAGCCACGGGACGAGGAAGAGGAGACACTCTCTGGAGGAGAAGGCAGGCGGTTGCCAGAGCCGCGGGTCTTGGGGCGGCCAGCGCGACCGGCCTCGAGAGAGTGGAGAGTAACCGAAGAGCGACGGCGGTCCATACGCAGCTGCTGGTGCTCCTTCTCCTCCAGTTCCATCTCAACCTCGCGCATTTCTTCGCCGACACCCTCATCCGGAGACATTTCACGACCTTCCTTGAGCATCTTGATGCCAAAAATCAGGAATAGAATAGCAGCCATGAACTTGGTGAAGGTCTTCGGGATTAGAGTAGGGACGGCATGACCTAGAACAGCTGAGAGGACTGTCATGCCAATCAAGGCGCTGAACGCAGCTGTGAAGACCACCAGACGGGGGTGGCGCATTGCCATGAGGGCAGCAACAAGGAATGTCTTGTCACCGATCTCAGAGACGAGAATCATCGTGAAGGAGAAAACGAGGGAGTGCAGCGAGCTGCCTTGCTCGGGGATGTCAGAGCTTGAGTCGTGGTTCAATGAAGAAGAGCTGGAAGATGAGCCTGAACCGAGAGAGCCATGCTCAAGAGCGAGCGGATCATCGTTGACCATGGCCGGGGGCTTAGGGTGTGGGATATCGTGTGGCTTTTCCGGTAAATCGGCGGGTTTCTAGATACAAATTAGACGAGTTGTGGACGGGGTTTCGTCACACTGCCAATTGAGGAGAAATCTTACCTCAAGCATCCCAAGAGTACCATCACCCTCTGCAGACCGACTTCCACTGCCAGTGGATGTACCATCGCTGTCAGACCCCAACTTCTTTGTCTCGCTGTGCGGCAATGGAGGCGCCTCCTTCGGGCTACCAGGCACCTTTTCGGATGCGTATTGATTCCCCTTTCCTTTCTCCGACACACCACCTTCGGTGCCCCGAGTGCCTTCTTTCGGGCCCGCACGATACGGATCGTCCATGACGCCGCCGTTCGAATGCGGGATCACCTTCCCATCTTCAGTGCTGATGTGCTGCGACGAGGGGATCTTCGTGTCGTATGAGACTGGGTCAATATCCTCGCTTCCCTTGGCGCTCTTGCGATCCCGGTCTCCGCTGGTTTCCACCCATGGGCCAGCGTGCGGTCTGCCATCCTTGCCATCCACGGGGACGTCCAGCGCCCCCTTGGCGACATTGGATGCGACTGTGCCTGAATTAACGGAGGGAGAATTGACATCAGAAGCACCACGTGAAACCCGCAAATTTATATTGTCATTATATGTGGCGTCTGTGAATGCGGCCGAGATGGCGGGAAGGAGGAAGAGAAGGAATGACGACGACGGGTTAATCTTCATTGTGTCGGCTTGTCCCGTGGAAGGAGTGAACCAGGGCCAAATTGGAGATGATTGAAAAGAGAATCGATAGCTCCTGAATGTCAGAAGAGGTAAGAGACAAAAAGTTGTTATCGAAAGTGGGTGAATTCTTTGATGCCACGACACCAAGTCGGGTGTGGAGATTCGAGGCCAAGACCACGCTGGTCAGGCAAGTATGAATGAGCGACGTAGGAAGAGACAGAGATATTAAAATGAAATATGTCAAGCAGATCAAGGAAATCAAGGAACTACAAGAGACAACACGAGCTATTTCCTGTCTGGAAGGCAAAGGGGGTTCACGTGACCGCCCGGAAACGGGCTGTAATCCCGTCGATCTGATTCATCAGACGCAATGGGCGAGTTGGACACTACCATTCTGCTGTGGCTTGTTTCACGATTGGGAGACTGCAATATGCTTGGTGTGTCGAAAGCCTACTGCAAGATGTCACAACAGCTCGTTGCTTAAGTTCAACACAGGAACATTTACATCCCACTATCTTGAACTGGGTACACAAAACAAGCTCCTTGTTACAAAAACGTAGATCCTGTCCTTGTTCCAATGTCCAATATAGTACAATGACTATCTAATGCTGTGTAACACCCAAATCTCTTGAATTCGAATGAACTCTGCTCAGGTTCGTAACAATATCATTCCCGTCTTCCCCTGCAAGGTACGCGATCTCAACGACGCGTCGATCGGGGCCCTACTCAATGCCGCGGAGAAACTTATATGTTTCAAAAATGCCAGGAACGCCTCTGTGGTGATGTTGATTGGACCGAAACGGGTTGAAGAATGTAACGGAATATATAACCCACGAGAGTAGTAGTCGTTCAGCCGCAATTGGAACTCGACATTGTAAAGAAGCAAACGATGCTACCTAGAGACATCCAATGCCAGCCATAATGTTTATTTTCCATGAAATGTTTGGACTACAGCAGCCCGTCAACCAAATCAAGTAAAAGATCCATAAATAAATACCCCAAAATAGTCCGTCGATCCGAGCCGATAATACCCTGACCTAAGGCATAAGTGGCGTCTTTTTTCATAGAGATGCGAATGGATTGCCCAGCATACAGCATCGTACAGGACAACAGCTCAAAGGACAGATCTCCATAGGTGACAGCATAGATAGCCCGAGCGCGAAGGCAAAACATTGACATCCAACGGTATAGAGAGCCCCAAGTCTGACTCCTTCCCCCCGCAATGAGCGATCTGCACAATGACGGCAGCCAAACGCCCATCAAGTCAGCTGAGACCCCAAGAGACATCATCTGAGCAATCAGCGCCGAAACTCCATTGAACACATGTCACTTTATATCCTCGAATAAGCGCAGCAAAACTCTTCCAGCGAGCGCCATGTATGCTCCGAGATAGGGTGGCTTGGCATGCCACCAAGAATGGCCGCGTGCATTTGGCAATTTCGTAGTATTGAGTGCTATTAAGCTTCACCGTAGATTGACACGGACAGGGACCGGATGCCCATGTATGTACAACGTGGTTGAGTGCATATAATTCCGTTTCAAATTGCATTATCTTGCGCGTAGTGCGTGGCCCCAGCTCCACTTGCTCAAGAACAGTGCTTACTGGACCCATGAGATGCGTATTAACGACATCGTGCTTGGGGAAGGTTGACACTGCCCGGAAACGGTGCGCTTATCGGGGTTTGATGGAGGACCCTGCGCTATGCTCCGGGAAATTCATCGGCGCTATACATATACCTATGCGAGAGGATATTTGATCTATAACCTCCAAAGCAAAGATACTCGAAGGCTACCTGGATTAACCTCAGCACGTGTGCGACCGGCATGGTACTAAGCGGGTACCTTGAGACGACTCACCGCCCCCCCCCGCTGCCACATGAGATCGTCAATCACATCATTTCTTTTATCTCACTGCGCATGATATAGAACTGCCACTATATATTACCTCGGGTTCTCACTTGCTTTGATCTTTACAAACTATGCCTTCAAGTGGTTCTTATCCAACCCCTGGGCTGATTCGCAAGCGTTGATCCCTTTCTCCTTTATCATCCTTATCAGTCGAGCATTCATATTTGGGCTGTTTCGCGAGGTTGTTCTTCCCGACGGCATTTTTGGGCTTGTAACCAGATTCCCGGCGTTGACCGTGAGGGATTCCGGTGTGTCCTGTTGGCTACAGTATCCAAGATAAATGTGAGTGCTCCCCGAGTCATAACCTCATCGTCGAGTCTTCATTTCCTGGTGCTTGCATTGGACCCAAAGACCCTCGCTAATATGTGTATAGCTCACTTGTTTCGCAAAGGGACTAGCCAGGTTACCTCGGCTCTAGTTCCTCTGCACAAAATGGTATCGCCTGCAGAAGGCCGCTTATCAACGGTGGAGGAGAACGTGGTGACGGATCCTGTTGAGCAGCAGCCTACTACTTCACGTTGGAAGCGGTTATTTGGAGGAAAATCGACAGAAGATCCCGAGTCTGGCGAGGATCGGAACTATCGCGCAAAATCAACGTTGGGGATTCTCAGTGACAAACAGACAGACGAAGTCCCTGGTAAGTTGAGAGTTGATCTATATACAACATATGAAAGGAGACTGACCTGTGGTTGATATAAGGAACGGTCCTTCTCCTATCATCGAATCGCAATGAACCTTTGGGCATGAGACATCAGCCGCACCGGACCTCAGCATCCTCTATTTCGTCTTACAATCGCTCACGATCTACCTCTCGATCCCGGTCCGTGGTGGCAAAGAAGAGGACACCCGATGGACAATTTGTACTCGATCCGCAGCCAGATGACTCTGTGAATGACCCTTTGAACTGGCCTGTATGGCAGAGAGATGCCGCGCTGCTCTCCCTCGGCTTCTACTGCTTGATGGGGGGCGGTATGACACCAATCTTGGCGGCTGGATTCAATGAGGTTGCAGATGAGTACAATGTTAGTACACAGCAAGTGGCCTTCACTACCGGGTTCTACATGTTGGGCCTGGGTCTGGGATCAGTCGTGATGTCACCCACTGCGATTCTCTATGGGAAACGACCTGTCTATCTCCTGGGAGCATCCCTGTTCATCATCTCAGCAATCTGGTGTGCTGCCTCACCGAATTATCCCAGTCTCGTCGTCGCTCGCATTTTCCAAGGCTTCGCAGTGAGCCCCGTTGAGTGTCTTCCATCTGCTACCATTGCCGAGATTTACTTCTTGCACGAGAGAGCCTACCGAGTTGGCATTTACACGCTACTACTACTGGGTGGAAAGAACCTTATCCCTCTAGTGAGTGCTGCCATCATTGGAGGTTTGACCTGGCGCTGGGTATTCTGGATCGTCGCGATTATCGTAGGCGCATGTCTGGTATTACTGTTCTTCTTTGTGCCCGAAACATTTTGGGACCGAACCCCTCGCCCTCGCCAGCATAAGCACAAACGTCCACGTCTCCCAGGCCGCAGTGTTTCTGACCTCGTCCATCACGGATTTCGTGGGAGACGCCCGCACGTTCAACTCCCGGAAGAACCTGCTGAGCCTATGGATCACTCAGAATTGAACTTGTCACCAAGAAGGTCCAAGCATGCGCATGTTGGATTTGCAGATGATCAAATGGAAGGTGGAAGCCGTGGAGTGGACATAGAAAAGACCGACTTCGCAGCCGGTGCCGAAAATACCACCGCTGGTGATCAAATCATATCCGAAAACTCTACTCCGGCCACTGAGAAGGGTAACGATTCCCTGCAAGTGCCACCTCATGCTTTTGTACCTGGGGCAAATCCGGATGACTTGGAAGCATCTCGTCCGGCCGTCTCGCCTGCAAGGTCCGAGTCACAAGAGCCCGCTGGGCCACCTTTAACCGCAACCCTACAATACACCAACCGACTCCGTGAGCGCCCGAAGATCCCATTCTCTCAGCTCCTCAGGGTATGGAATGGAAGAATCGCACAAGACAGTTGGTACCGAGTCGCTGCACGACCCTTCGTCCTGTTCGCTTATCCATCGGTGCTCTGGTCAACAGTGGTCTACGCACTGTCCGTCGGCTGGTTGATCGTGATATCGGAGTCCATTGCACATCTCTACCAAGGCAAAACACACTACAACTTCACCCCACTTCAGACTGGCCTGGTATACATCTCGCCCTTTGTCGGCGGTCTCTTGGGAACTGCAGTGGCCGGCAAGGTATCCGACATCATCACGCAATATCTCACCAAACGCAATGGCGGTATTTACGAGCCCGAGTTCCGTCTTGTGATGGCAATCCCTATCGCTTTGTCCACTGTCATTGGGTTGATGGCATTTGGTTGGAGTGCTGAGATCAAGGACAACTGGATTGTGCCTACTATTTTCTTTGGTCTAATCTCCTTTGGCTGCTGCTTGGGCAGTACCACTGCCATTACCTTTTGCGTGGACAGCTATCGCCAATACGCTGGTGAAGCGCTTGTCACATTGAACTTTAGCAAGAGTATGCTACCCCTACCCTTGATTATCATGTTTCTTTACCCCAGCTGACTGTCTTATCACAGATATCCTCCACGGCCTAATATTCTCCCTTTTCATCGTGGACTGGCTGGACGCCGAGGGTTCCCGTGATGTTTTCCTCGTCATCGGTGGTATCCAGCTGTTCTTCATGCTCCTGACGATTCCAATGTACATCTATGGCAAACGAGCTCGCATGTGGACAGTGCGCAAGCAGCTCATGGAACGTTTCTGATCTAGATCATTGTTTTGTTTTTTTGCGAAATATCTTCTAGTTTGCATATAGTTAACTTACACAAACACCATGAGATTCTTGACTGTGGCTGTTGTCGTCTCGGCCATTTTCGCATGTCTCTTCCGGCGATTTACATAGCGGGAGCACTCGGGGGTTCATGGAATCATCGGGGTCTGTCTTATTTCTTTTCGGCGTTTGCATCTAATCTATCTTAACGATTAATCCATTACTGAATTCTCAGTAGCATCCGTGGATGTGTTGCATATACCTACCAGGGGTGGTTACGAATCCGCACAAATTGAAACTCCGCGAATAGAGTTTCCGCCAAGATCAGATAAAGACCCCCTCCTAATTCCGAGCGTGGTCTGACACTGACCGAGCAGCGGAACGGATCTCGGACCCATGTGGTCTGAGCCTGTTTATAGAAAAAGAATCTACCACAAACGGGACTAGAGAACCTGGCGAAGGCTCTGAGAGGAACAGAGCAATGCATGGAGGATTTTACTGTGGATCTACAAACTGTTCTTAAGATTACTGTTGGAGAACATCCCAGGCTATTTCCGCCGACGTTCCTCCGATTTGGAGCGCTGGAACCTTAAAAAACTCGATTGAACTCTTTTTAGGACAAACCCCCGATCCCGCTTCATCTTATCTGATTGAGACTCCGCTGTACCATTCCTCAAGACGTATGCTTCCCTGCACATTTTACGTATTTCCCCGTCAGCCAAGAGTCTCGGACTTGTGTGCCATTCTCAGCTCACCATGCCGTTTCCTGCCAAGAAACTGCTGGCCCGCTGAACCTTTTTATCAATCTCCGATATCGATCGGCGTATAAGTAGTAGGGCGGTACTCGGAGATTTGGGTTGGTCCAGAATTTTATTTACCTTGTTGACACAGTGCACCACCTATCCTTGTGCTCCTTTTCCGGGATCATTCCAGATCAATCGGGATCATGCCTGTCGGCGAGTCGGTTTCGAAGACAGTGGTGGATGTGGTGTCAGAGCCTGCTGCTAAAGACATATCCACCCCCTCGGAGGAATCATCTGACAATGACAATGACAACGACTCTGACGATGGGAGGAGTCCCCCACCACTACTTGCAAAGCTATGCGCTGTTATTTTGATATCGTGCATTAGCTTTGGCTCGCACTGGAGTTCTGGTGTCACGGGTGCTATGAAAAGCACGATCAAAAAGGTGTGAAAGCATTCGTCGATGTAATGTGGAAGGCCAGCTGATGATTTCTTTTTCGCAGCAAATGCACATTGACAATGTTCAATTCTCACTTCTAGAAGCAAGCGAGAATTTCATGGCCACAGTGCTGCTTCTGGCCAGTGGTATAATTACCGACCGAGTCGGCGGAGCAGGTATGTTAATGAACAACAATCCCCAAACCCGCGAATATGCTGACCATCGTTACTTGGATAGAAATGATCGTCTACGGAAACATCGTGTACACCATCGGGTCGATCCTCGTCGCTGCTGCCACGACCGTGCGCTCGTTCAACTTCATGATCGGAGGTCGGATCGTCCTTGCGCTGGGGGACATCGCCACACAAATAGCGCAGTACAAGATGTTTTCTTCCTGGTTTCCTCCTAGCAATGGATTTGCTTCTACACTCGGGTTTGAGCTTGCGATTGGAAAGATCGGTGGATTTGTCGGGAAATCAACAGCCAATATCATTGCAAAGGTAGGGTACCCGGATCGACTGCCACGGAACAAAGCCTAATGAATGGACAGAACACCGGTAACTTCGCATGGGTATTTTGGACATCGGTCTTCATGAACATATTCACGAACATTGCCAGTGCTGCGTTCTGGTTCTTCAACAAGTACTGTAATCGCAAGTACAAGGGCCGGTATGACGCAGCAACCAAGGAGCAACTCACAGAGAAGAACAAGAAGTTCGAATTCCGCAAGATGTTCGAGCTACCATGGATGTTCTGGTCTATCATGGCATTCTCTGTGTTCCAGACGAGTTCAGCCACGGTCTTTAGCCAGAATGCGACTGAGCTGGCTGAAAAGCGGTTCAATGTTGATACCATCAAGGCAGGTTGGTATAGCTCTCTGTCGCAATATGCAGGTATGGTTTCACTAGAAGAATGGTTGCAAGATTGGGTCCGGGCTGACAATGAACAGGGTTCTTCCTTGTTCCGTGTGTGGGTATTTTCATTGATGTGCTCGGAAACCGAGCATCTATCTGTGAGTTTGTCAAGTCAAATCCAAAATGATCGCCGCTTAACTAATTTCGGTATTCCAGTGTTCACCTGTGGTCTTGGTATGCTGTTGAGTATGGTACTCATCAACTTCGCGACATCCGAAGCAGGCACAGGAGCTTCGTTCGGCATCTATGCCATTGCCCTGTCCTTTGGACCAACTTCGGTCATTGATAGTATTCGCACCACGCTCTGGCACCAATCGGTTTTCGGGTCTGCATATGCATTGAAGGTCACCATGAACAACGCGTAAGATTGACCATGTCCCCGCCATTGAGAACAAGAGCTGACCTTGGTGACCATGACAGGATGAGCATCATTATTCGCATCATCACCGGGGCTCTGCAGGATGCGGATGATGATTCATACCGCCGGGTGGTGCAGGTATACCTCGTTCTTGCTGCTGGATCCTTGGTGGTTGGCTCCGCCATTCTGATCGGCTCTTTCATGACCGATAATCTGGCACCGCTTCAGTGGACTCGACAGAAGCGATTGAGTTCGGGAGCGGCAGTTATTGACAGGATTCGAGAGCGCAGCTTAGTCACTGAGCACCGTCGCACACGCAACATCTCCATAGTCAGCTTTGGAGGGCTGGGGCTGTTGGTACTCGGGTCGTGGGTGGCATATATTTGGGGTGCAGTTACGGGCAATAACTCGTAGGGGGTTTGAGGCTCCAAACATGTACTTTGACAATGACTGTTAAAGGCTTTGTGGGACATCAATCTCGGAATTCCAGGCTAATACCAATTGACAGCCATTGCTATCTTTAGCTGGTAGTGGAGTTGATCGCCCATAAGTCATTGCTTATCTGGGTACATAGGGTTCTCACGCAGGTCGACCATTTAATGTTGCCACCGGCGTCATAGGCTTGAGCGGCGCTCTTTCAGGGCACAAATGGCGCACGGCTGGCTTGAATGACGACATGGCTTGCTGCGGAATGCCACTAGATGCAGATTGTCCATGCTGGAATACCGATACTCCTCGCAGTAAGGGCAAGAAGATGGACACTGGAGCAAAGAGTTGACTCTGAAGCATTGGTGATGGTAAATGCTGAGTTGGCCCTGGTTCCACTTTTTCCCTGCTCGGTGCCTGATCTCCGGGGCCAATAATGTGGCCTGTGGCTGAACCAATAGTCTTTAGCCTCAGGCCAGCCACTGGGTCATCGTTGGACGTCACAGCCACTCAAACCCTCTTTCTTCCACATTCGAAGATCCTCTCGCCGCTGTGGACGCCCTCCTTCAAGCCATCTCCGCTATGTGCTCCAGTGCATGGCCCGGCGTGGGTTTGCATTCTCTGCCAATATGTCGATCCCACAATGCAGAGCAATCCCACAAGTGGGAGAGCTGATGAAGCGGTGGAGCTCCAGTAAATGACTCCAAATGTGCACCGAGCGTCCGATCTCACTAATCAAATCATATGGAGCATTTATCCCCTCATCCCCTCGCCAATGCCCGTCCCCACCTGACTGATTAGATTCCTGGCTGCGTGAGCAGCCGAATTTCTTGTCATTCCCTGGAACCGGTCTGCGTTTTCACCTGACTCGCTACTTTTTTTCTTTTGGTTGCATGTGGAGAGCAGCCACGCCGACCTGAAATTCCACTTTTCTCTCCATTTCGCCTCCGAGTGATCAAGCCACGCCGACCACTTCAACACTTGTCTCCCTTTTCCGTCACTCCTTTTCCGTTGCTGCCGCTACTGCAAACCGAACCTCACGACCCTCGTCGCGATTCTGACCGTCCCCTCAAGTTTCACAACCCGGAGTACGAGGATGCGCAACTGCATTCTTATTTCTCCCACGCTATCGGCAAACTATGGAGGACCCTAAGACCAAGCAACAGGTTCAGCACAATGCAGAGCGCAGGGCGAGGGAACTTTACCGCTACTACCAGCCTGCTACACGAGCTGGCGTGGTCCCGTCTTGGCTTCCCACGGGCGATGAGTACCCATTTTCTAGTCCTTCAGGAAATGTCGACACGCCGCCAATCTCTGAAAGCTCGGCGCCTTCGGAAAGCTGCAGAGTACGCCCATCGACCGCAATCGGAACTGAGGTCCTGACCTTGGGCACCTCGAACAGTACCTTGACCTCATTTGCCCAGCTGGCGGCTTTGCGCCTGGACGTCGAGCGAGTTTTCATTGCTGTGTTGGATCGCGACCGACAACATATCATTGCCGAAGCTACAAGAACCCTGAACCTGAATGACGCGTCAGTTCACGATGACAAAGACAATATCTGGCTGGGCGCGTCCGATACCCGCAGAACATGGAGTGTGTGCAAGGTAAGTTCTGCTCTCTCGACGAGCCGGCACAAACGGAACCCCTGTCAAACTAGATCATATTGATCTCAACCCTCATTTCTCGATTTTGACGCTTGAAACGACAGGACACTGTTGCATTGCCGCCCAACCGCCGCGAGACCGCAAACTATCAATTCTTAATTGTGAACGATATGAACGAGAATGATCGTTTCAAGCGACTTTCGTTTGTCGAGAACGATCCACACTATCGGTTCTATGCGGGAACTCCCTTGACCACCGAGAACAATATCAATTTAGGCTGCTTTTTTGTGTTGGACAGCAAACCTCGGGACGGATTGACACCCCAGGAGAAGGACACACTGGGATCGCTATCAATGCTTGCCATGGGCTATTTGAAGGTTTGCAGACAAGCTTCAGAGGGCCGCCGGGCGGCACGCCTCTCCCGAGGATTGAGCTATTTTGTTGAGGGGAGTTCGAGCTTTGTGGACAGCGTGGACATGTCACGCACCGAGAGCACGGCTCCTCAATCA